TTAAAAAAATTTTAAAAAAAATTAAAAAATTAAAATTTTTTTTTTAAAACAAAAAAAAATGATATTAAAATTTTTTTAAACCCTTTTTAATATTAAATAATATAATTTTTCTATGTTGTTATTTTATAATATAAATTATATTGAATTAAATATTATTTTAACTAAAGAAGTTTTTATTTTTTTAACCAATTTGGTTTTTTTTTAAATATATATAAAACTTTTTTTTATAAAAAATAAAAAATTATAAAAAAAAAAAAAAAAAATCAAAAAATTTTTAAAAAAAAATAAAATTATTTTTTAAAAAAAAAGAAAAATAAAAAAATTATTTTTTAAATAATTTTTTATTTTAAAAAAGATAATCAAAATTGATTATCGACATATAGGGATAAAATTATTTTAAATAAAAAATATAACAAAAAAATGCAGTTATATTATCTTAAAATCATTGATAAGGCTATTAAAACCCACAGTTTTAACTACAAATAACTGTGGTACTATATAAGAGCAATCAAATTATTGATATATTTATGATAAAAAAAAATATCTTTTTTTTTTTATTTTTTTAATTTTTTTTTTTAAATAAATTTTTTAAAAGGTGGTGAAAGATAATATTATTATAATTAAAACTAAGGAATGTAATATACTTAAAAGACTTTTAGGTGTGATAAATGTTGATGAGGAATTTTGGTTATCGTTTTGGGAATTATCAATTGGATTGTTCAGAGTATTGGGATCTTTTGGTTTCGAGGGTGATGCTGAAGGTGATTTTGAGGGTGGATTTGGAGGTGATGATGATGTTGTTGGGGTGGATGATGGCGATGGAGATAATGACTGTGATTGTGATGGAGATACAGTTTCGGCCTCTTCTGTGTTACATATTAATTTATAATTTTCATTTAGGGTTATCTCTTCATTTTTTGAAAGGCATCTAATAGTTTTGATTGTATCATTAGAACAAACACCTAAATTTGAAATGGAAACTAAATACGAATTAATTGAACCAGGTCCTTTGGCAACCATAAAGCTTTTTTTACATGCATCTGCACAAACTTTTGATGAAATATTGGTTTGGCAAGAGGATTTGCTTTCTTTAATGGTAAATGATTTAAAATCTTGAATTAAAGTTGCGTCTGAACATTTTACAGTATCCGAAGTTCCATCTATGGTTCCACTGGGGCACGAAAAAGATAATTTTTGAGCACCTGACAGAGAAATGTCACATATATTGTCATAAAAGAATTCAATAGAATATTTGTTTTCGGTTACGTTATATGCAAATATAGAGTAATATTGAGAACCACACCATGGGGAGCATTCATCTACTAAAAATATATTATTGGTACAATGTGGAGATTTTATGGTATATTTTGTGTAGATTTCTGCATTTACTATAAAATTAAAAATAAAAAAAATTATTATAATAATTATTATTTTCATTTTTATTTTTAAATAATTATTTTATAATATCAATAATTTTTTATAATAATTCTAGGTATAGGTTCTATATTTAAAATAATAGGGTATTTATAATCAAGAATTAAATAAAACAAAGAAAATTCACATAAATTAAAACTTTGAATAAAAAATAAAAGATCAAGAAAACAAATTAAAAAAAAAATAATAAATAAATTATTTAATTTAAATTAATCTACACATACATCATTAATCCCAATATATTATTTCCAAAAAAATAAAAATAAATTAATAAGATAGCTAATACATATTGATCATACTTTGTTTATTTATATAGTTTTCTATTTACTATTGGGTGTGGTGGTTGGTGTGAGTGTGAGTGGGTTATTTTTTTAGAATATATTGTCAATAGAAATTAACTTAAAAATATTTTAGAAAAATAAAAAAATGACAATAATATTATTTTGGCATAAGTTTATTTTATAAATAGAGAATCTAAATATAGTTTTTGCGTGATAAAAATTAAATGATAACTTAGCAATTGTTGAAGATCTATTAAATAAATACCAAAGAATAGTTATAACATGGGTTTCTTGTAATTTAAAATAAAAATGTTTTAAACCTTATAAATAAACTTGTTGACAAGTTAAAGAAAACAATCAAAATGAATTTATATTTTTTTATTTGAGGTTTGTATAATTTTATAAATAATTGGTGGGTTAGTTTATTTTGTTTAATCTTATAAGATTTATTAAAATAACAAAACAAAAATTTTGTGTTTTATAGAGATTTACCACAACCAGAATCACAAATTTATATATATAAAGAAGGTCAATTACATGGTGAGAAAATAATTTATAGAGATCCTGGACCTAGAATACAGAGGACAAATTTTATTTTAAATATAATAAATTAAAAAGTATTGTAAAAATTAATTATGGTTTATTAAAAGTTTTTTATATTTATTTAATATATTAATTGTAATGATAAAAGAACGACCATTGAAAATATTAATACTCCATTTACAAAAGAGGTTGATGCTCCAGAGGTTTGCTTATAATTGGTTTTAATAACTTCTTGTTGAATTAATGGTAATTCAGTTAATGTTCCATAAATTGGCACTGAGACGGTGTTGCTTGATTCTTTGTCACGTGGAGATTCTCTGTAGCATTCTGAATCATCAGGGGAACCTTGAATTGATATTTTTAAATCACCGCCAAAAAGATAATTATCCATTTGAACTGTAAAAGAAAATACATTACTTAAACATAATGAATATTCTAAAGGAGTATCACATTTTGTTTCATTTGAGTTTTTAATACTTGCAATTTCATCTCTAAATATACTGTAAAAGATAATTTTTTCTTGGGCATCATCGGATGTTATACTAAACAAAGCGGCGGATGAATCACTTTTATCCTTTTTTAATTTAAACTTTAACAATTGGTTTTTGGATACTTGAAATTTTTCATCAATATTAGGACCACTGGCAATTTGAAAAAATTCACCATAATCATATTTTTCCAAGGTATATGAGTGACCTGAAAGAATAAAAATACTAATAATTAATATTAAAAATAATATTTTATTTGATTTATACATTTTAAGAGTGAATAATTAATAATGGTATAAAAAAAAAAAATTAAATTTATAGAGAAAATAAAATATTAAATTAATTATTTATTAATTGTATAAATATTATTTTATTATTTTTTCCCAATTAAAAATAATTGTATATTTAAAAAAATTTGTAAAAATACAATTAAACTATTCACATAATTTGTAAATATACAATTTTTTTTTGTAAATAAAAATTGGGGCTATAAACATTGATGGTAGATGTATCTATTCTCATCTATTAAATATACTCAAAATAAGGATATATTCAGTGGCTATTTTTAAAATATAAATTGTTTGTGTTATTTTTACACACACCCATAATAAAAAGAAAATTAAAAAATATAGTATGTTGGGTACACATAAATTACTATACATTGCTCCCTTTTTTTAATAATTGTTTGAATAAGAACACCTAAAAAATGAAGAGATTTGTAAAAATTAAAAAAGGAAAATTGTAATAGCAATGATGCTATTAAAGTCATTTATTTTGTAAAATTATATTTAATGATAATAAATGAAAGGGCTATATAAACATTGATAAAATTTTTAAGTTATTTAAAAATAAGAATACAAATTTGGATTTAAATTATTTTTACTTTTTGTTATTACCACCACTTTAATTTTTTTTTTTTTTTTTTTTTTTTTTTTTATTTTTATTTTTAATTCATTACATTATTTAACTCCCCCCAATATTTATTTATTTTTTCAATTCTACATTATTAAAAAATGGGTGTTATAAACTATAATAAAAACAATACCTGGGTTTCACTTTGAATGCTAGATTATTTTTATGAAACCCATGTTGTGGTGAAGTGTGTAATCAAAAATACAAATAAAAATATTAATAAAGGGTAATTATTAAAGTTGGTTGTTATTCAAATTAAAAAAAAATAATATATTTTGGAGGGGAGATTTATTAAAAGAAACTTTTTTAGTTTCAATAACATAGATTTTATTATTATTTTTTTGCTGTTTAGAATTGGTTATATTATTCTAATGAGTTGAAAATGAAACATTTTTAAATTAATATTTTCTCTTCTTATATTTTTAAAAAGATTAATCTTTTTGAAATTAAGGTAATTACCTTTTGGGTTTTTGTGTTCGAATAAAGAATTCAAAAAAATAAAAAAAAATTATTTTAAAAAAATCTTAAGAAATTTTTTTTTTTATTTTTTTTTTTATAAATTTTTTTTAAAAACATCAAAATTAGTTTTTATTTAATATTGTTTATCTCTGTATTCAAATAGTTTTTTATTCATCTTTGTTATATATTATTTTCACAAAAAAATGTAATTTGTTTAATTAAAGTAAGTATAATCAATTAATTGATTTCTAATAAAAAAAATAAACAAATTTTTTTTCGGCTTTTTAATGTAATTTGTGCAAGGATAAAATTTGTGTGCCACAATTCGAATCGATTTGTGATATTTTTTTTTGATAAAAAAAATATATTTTTTATTTTTATTTTATTTTATTTTTAGCAATATTTATTTTTAAAAAAAAAATATCAATTGTTTTTTTTTTTTTTTTTTTTTTCTAATAATATATTAATGATGGAATTTAAAATATTTATAATTATTTTTTATATAGTTTTTTTATCATTTAGCAAAGCAATTGAATTTCAAATTCTTGACAATTATAATTTTACAAGATATCCCGACAAATCAAATGTAATACCATGCACTTTTACTTTTACAGTATTGATATCAGACCCAAATGGTATGCAATTTAATTCAGTGTCACAAAATTTTGGAGGGAGAACAGACATTGGTTATAATAGCACCCATGTTTTTACTCAATTTAGTTGGACAACAGATGGTCTTCAAACTTTAATTATTAGTGCAATAAATAGTCAAAGTGTTTCAGATAGTAAAGAGATAATCTTAGATTGCAGAGGTAAATATTATTAATATCAAATTTTAAAAGATTAAATAAAATATATTTACTTTTTTCATTTTATAGCATTCGACCTTGATAATCTAAAAATAGAGTTTGGTGATATTTATTTCGATCCAGATTTAGGATATACATTATTACTTAAAAAAACCGGAATTCCATCATATACAATGTTAACAGCTGTTGTTGAGGGAGTCCCCACCCCATGTAATAGTTTAGTGGATGGTATTCACGATCAATTATTAATTCCTTATTTTGCTATTTCAAATATTGTTGGTCAAATAAAAATTGATTTTAATTTTATTAATAGTATTAAAACATTTTACACAACAGGTTATTTTAATGGTAAATATTCAATAGAATATTATTTTTTTTTTTAGAGAATAATTATTAATTGGTTTTATTAAATATTTTTTATAGGATCATATGACAGTAATTTTCAACTTGGTAGAGTTCCAGAAAATATTGATGGGACAATACAATTAATGGGTAAAGGACTGGCCCCAGTTTTTTCGTATACATGCAAAACCCAAACTAAAGAATCGTTATTTTCATCTAAACAAGGGAGTGATTTTATTTATTTTTTTTATAAAGCAATTTACGAAAGCGGAGGTATTACAACATATCTTGGCTCATATTTATCTCCAGGATCAAGTTTAAATTATAATCTTGACCTTTTTACTCAAAAACTAAATCAAAAGGTTAGTGTTTATACACAAGATGTTAAATTGATAGGTAAGATATCACATTTTATAATATTAAATAAAAAAAAAAAATAAAAAAACTAATTTAAATTTAAATGATTAGATTCACCATACACAGATTTTTCAACTGGAACTACGCAAACGGTATATATGGTTGATACATACGCTATATTTTTAACCGCTGATATTACTTCTTCCCCAAATGAAATTTATAATTTAAATAATATTATAATTGGCTCCGAATATAGAAGGGAAATAGAACCACCATTGGGTTTTGGTACTTTTGGAGGAAATAATTTAAATTATAGATTTTATTTTTCCTTTCCATTTCTCAAATCTTTACCATATGTTACTTTTTCTTTATTTGGCAAAGAATTTAATAGAGATATAACAGAAAATTTAAATTACGATCCAGGTAAATATTATTATTTAAATAGTAATAATTTATAAATAATAACTAATTATGATTTTAATATTTTTTAAAAATAGATATTGTTGAACTACCAGAAATTTCAACTTATGAATATATTTATATTTCAAACAGTAAATATCTATTTAAAGCTAATATCAAATCCAAGGTTTGTGGTGTTATTGGAATTTCCTTTGATGGTTCTATTTTCAATAGAATTTCACAATATAGAATAAGCGGTGATTTTTACGATGGTATTTACGAAATTCCAATAGATTTTGAAGTAGATATTGTCTATGGTTTTATTCATATAACCGATTTTTGTAATAATGTAAAAAAATTTCAAAATCATGATTATATTTCAAATCAACTTGGGTTACAATTAACTATACCATTTTATAATTGGGAAATTGGTAAATATAAAAAGTTTTTTAACTTTAATTTATCAATATATATTAATTTTAAATGTTTTTTATAATTATAGTTGATTTAACAAGTATTAAGGATGTATCATTTTCATTTAATAATATAGATGTTTCAAAGCAACATGTTTCAAATATTATCTATTTTAATTATCCAAACTATGACATCAAAAATGCTCCATTTTCATTAAAGTTACCAAATATTGAACCAATGAATCAACTTGGGTATAAAGTTCAAGAGTTTTATGGACATTGGAATAGTACTTTAAATAAATTTCAAATTGAATTTGTGGTTCCTAAAAACTCAAGATCTGGTAAATTCGATTATTCTCTTTCACTTGGTATCAATTCTATAGATTCAAGATCTTTCCCAGACAACTATCAATTAACAATAAAGAAAACAAACTATGATGGTATGGGTCCAATATTTTCAGAAATTTCAAAAATCGCCTTTCCAACTGGCTCTAATGGCCAAGTATATACCTTTGGGTGGAATTTAACTATTAGTGATCCAATAAATGGTTTCGATCATGGTGATATTACAGTAATGGGCTCTTTAGATAATACTATTTATAAATTCAAATTAACATCAGGAAGTTTCGTAGATAGTGGAAGATTTGATGGTGTTTATAAAGTTACACTTAGTAGTGGTAATAAAAACGAAGGTAGTTATTTAATAATTGTAAAATTAGTTGAGGGCTTTTCATGTGTAACTCAAGAGTATATTATTACCAAAGCAGTTCTCTATGATACCGCGGGTCAAAAGAGTTTATTTGAAAGAGGTATAACAGAGTATACTCAAAACCATCCAACACTTAATAATCCATTTTATTTACTTTCAAGCGATGCAACCATTAACAGAATTCAAATAGAATGCATTAATAGTCCAAATATTGACACATCTCCACCAGCTGTTATGGTGTTTTCACGTTCTCGACCTCAAATGGATGTAGGTTCACAAGATAGAACAATTACATTGACATTAAACTCATCAGATCCCGAGAGTGGTATTAATTATTTTGCTCAAGGACCAATAGCTTATTTAATGGCTGAAAACTTTGAAATTATTCCATGTATTTTTATTATAGATTCATTTTCTACATACACTGCAGATTACACATGCACAATCGAAGTACCTCTTGGGTTTGGCTCTGGATTTGGTAAAATTTTCTTGTCATTTCACGGTCTTACTAACAATCAAGGTATATATAGAGGCTATACAATCCAATCATTTAATACAGGAATTTTAACCACATTTTCAATTTCAAATGTTCCTATACTATTAAAGACCGGTCTTGCTTTTTCAAAAGGTGGAGATTTTTATTTCAGTGGTAAAAGTCTAACTGGTGTATCAAAAGTCTTTTTAAAGTATTCCGATACCAATCAAACTGAAGAATTTACAAACTTTAAAAAATTTGGGGATTCAATGATACAACTTTCAAATTTAAGACCAACCACAAGTAACTTTTTAGTTTTTGTGCAAGATTCACAAAATCAAATTTCAAATAGATTATTAGTATCACCAACTTTAAGCTATGATTATACCCCAGAAGCACCATTACCAACCAACCCACCACAAAAATGTAAAGGAGAGCCAGAATGCGGTGGTCCAACACATGGATACTGTGACATTAACACAGGTTGTAAATGCCTATCACCATGGATAGGAAATGATTGTTCAGCAAAAGTTATTGAGACAATTAAACCACCTATTAATGAAACACAACCATCAACAACTATAATTGTTGTAAATAATAATAATCAAAATACAACAAATAACAACAACATCAACAAGAATGTTGAATTTAAATCTATAATCTCAATTCATTCAATAAGAGAAATCGGTTATGATGGTACAAAATTAGATGAGTATCCATTACATAACCAAAATTGGTTTTTAAATAATGATGATGGTAAAAATAATTATTTTGCAAATATTATAACAAAAAATAACACAAACACTAAATTATCAGTATCTCTTGAATGGTTTAATTCAAGCAAAACTGTTACTTTTGCAGAACAACAGATTGAAATGAATGCAAATACAATGAAATATACAATCGAAATTACAAATTTTCCATTTTCAAATAAACTTTCGCATCTTCAATTAGTTATTTCAGCACTATTCAGTTCAAATTTTACAGGTGATTCATGTTCATCAAAAGAATTTGGTGAAACATCAAATGGAGATAATTCAAATTATTTAAAGATTCAAATTGATGACAAATCTTTATATTCAAGATTAATAAAAAGAGGTATAATAGATGACAATAAAATTATAGGTATTGAAAACACATTATTGGATGAAACAATGAATCCACTTGTTTCATCAACAGAATTACAATCTTATATAGCAATTAATATCCCACATTTTGATGATAAAGCAATATTAGATCCAGACTTCTCAGTTTTATTAGAATCATCATCGGTTAACAACAAAAACGAAAATTCAAAATGTTCAAGTTCTTCACACTCATCGTCATTAACCAAAACCCAATTGGCCGGTATTATTATTGGTAGTTTTGTAGGTTTAGTAATTATTGTTTTCTCTGCTCTTTTAATCACATCAAAACTTTTTAAAAACAAATCAAACAATTTATTAAGATTACATATGAAATTAAAAAATATTTCACGTAAATAAAATAAATAGATAATTATTTTAAACAGATATTTAAAAGTAGGAAATAGTTAAAAAAAAAAAGATTTTTATTAATTTTTTAAATTTTTTTTCTCACCATCGCCAATTTTTAGGATCTTTTGATATTTTTTAATTTTTTTCATTTATTTAAAAATGACACCACTTCACGTTTTTTTATTTCCTAACCAATTTTTTTTAAATTTTTTTTTAAAATTTTTTTTTAGATTTATATTATTATATTAATAAAATACATCAAATAATGAAATTATTATTTACTTTATTAATTTTATCAGTTTTAAATTATTTTGTTTATTCACAGCAATATTCTTTATTTCATATAACAGGCCCAGGTTGTAAAGTCAATGGTGAAAGTATAAATTATAATAATAATATTATAAATGTTATTTAAATATAAATGAATATTAAAAAAGTTTTTTTTTTTTTAGATATTTTAATAGATCAATGTACATTATCTATTTGTGGTGGTGCAGGGTCAGCAATTGAATATGACCAAAGTACATCAAATTATTCTATAAGTCTTTTTAATGACAATCAATGTATACAAGCATCAGATGAAATGGAATTCCAATGTCCAGATGATGAAACCAGTACAGAAATAGGATCATATTATGTCTCTTGCCACGATAGTACATGGGTTCAAGTTAATTATGAGGTATTTACAATATATGGTGATGGATGTGACTCAAATGGAGATTCTATTTTTTTAAATCAATGTGGTTTGTTATGTGGTTCTTATTCAATAGTCAAAAAAGATTATAACACAGGAAACTATAATATCAAATTATCATACACCTCTGACTGTTTACAAATATCTGACCAATTAGAATTTGCATGTTTAGAAAATGGTGATGCCGCTAAAGTTGGGGATTATGGTATTATTTGTGGTGATGCATCATCTTCATCTTCTTCATCATCTTCATCATCCTCATCATCCTCATCATCCGATTCACCAGTTAATCCAGTTTACACTTTTTTCACTGTTTATGGTCAAAGTTGCCCAGCTTCAGGAGACACATTAGAAATTTACCAATGTGGTAGTATTTGTGGTGATTATGCTCAAGTTACACTCAATGATTCATTATCAAATACCTATAATTTTGCTTTGGCTACTAATTCAGATTGTGATTATTACTCTGACGAAGCCCAAATAGGATGTTTAGAGAATCAAGTGATACCACTTGGTGATTATAGTGTACTTTGCCATAATTAATTTTACTTTTTTTATCTTTAAAAGTTTTATAGAAAAAAAAATAAACTCTCATTTTTTTTTAAACTAATGTTTTTAAAATTTTATATTATTTATCTTTATTTATGGAATATATTTTAATTAGTCTGATTTTTTAAATTTAATAGTTTTAATAAATTCGGGAAAATGATCTGCACCAAAATTATCTCTATAACGTGTATCTAATATAATAGTATGAACTGAGTCAGGTATCGAGTATGGATTAATCATTTGACTAAAACCCCAGCCAAACTCTAATACCTCTAAACCAGATGGTAAATCTCCTATTTTAAACGAGGAGCTAAACCAATAACCAAAGGTAAGATTTTTAATATTTTTTGGGATAATTCCTGGAGAGATTGAATGTATATATTTATGACCAAATACTAGTGATGTTACACCTTCGGGTATTGATCCTATTGAAAGTGTTTTATTAAAACTATTTCCAAAAGTAAGAGAACGTAAAGAGGATGGTAATGTGCCTGGTACTATAGGTTGGTTATAATCATAGCCAAAAGTAAGTGATGTAACACCTTCTGGAATTGCTTGTGGTTTTAATATTTGGTTAAATACGTTTGACAGGATAATAGTGTGTACAGATTCAGGTATTACCCCTACTTTAATAGGATGATTAAAAAAATGACCAAAGCTGCATATGAAAAAAAATAATAATATTAGTTATTTAGAAATATATAAGTTAATTGGTATTAATATTTTTTAATATATTACCTTATAGTTTTAACTGATATAGGAATTGATCCAGGTGATATTGGTTGGTTGAAGTTGTATCCTAAATTAAGCTCAGTTACACTTGGGGGAATATCGTGTTCACGTAATAACTGATTAAATAAACCACCCAAAGATAAAGTAAGAATGGATGGAGGTAATGAAGGAGAAGATTCGTTTTTAAATATTGATAAAAATGATTTGTTGGTTTGATTAATTGGTTGGTTAAAGGTATTGAATATAAGTTTTTTAACACCCAATGGTATACTTCCAGGCTTTATTATTTGATTATATGATGGTAGTTCGAGATTTATTACACTTGATGGTATATCGCCTTGGTGTAATGGTTGGTTAAATGATTCTAAACAAAGATTCGTTACACTTGATGGAATTTGACCTTTTTTTAATGGATTGTTAAAGCCGTCTAACTTTAGCACTGTTAAAGAGTTTGGTAATGCGCCTTCAATTAAATCTGGATGGTATTCACCATGGATAATTTTAAAAGATTTTAATGATTTGGGTAAAACGTTTGTTTCAATGAGTTGATTAAAAGCACGAAATTCGACCTCTGCAAGCTGAGAAGGAAGTGATCCTGAATAAAGTTGGTGATTATAATTTAGCATACTTAATTTACAAATTGAATTTGGTAAGGAGCCTGGTTTGATTGGAGCAATATTATATCCATCGAGAGATAGCTCTGTTAAAGAGATTGGGAATGTACCTTCTAAGAATTCGTGATTGAATGAGTTGAGATTAAGAATAGTGATAGATTGTTTTATAACACCAATATCCAAAGGCTGATTAAATTTCGCAAGATACAATTCCTGTAAAGTATCTGGTAAAACATTGGGATCTAATAGTTGGTCATAGTGATACATGCTTAACTTTACTAATCTTTTTGGTAACAGTCCAATCGTTAATAATCTAGTGTACCCATCTAGAACAAGATTTGAAATTGATTCTGGTAATGAATTTTCCTCAATAGTTTTTTCATATTTGTTATTCATTATTTTTAATTTTCTGACTGAGGTTGGAATATCACCAAAACGAATATCTTGATTATAAACTGAACCTAGAGATAGCTTAGTTACACCGTATGGCACTACTTTAATACTGCCACTAAAATTCTCTTCTGTATAGTCCAAAGGGTCATTTGATATATAATGTAGTTTTGTTAGATATTTTCGGTTTGAATAATTTATTAATTCTTTTGCTCTTTTACAGCTAAAACTAAAATATTCGTTATAGGATCTAAGATGTTGAAAAATAATATTTTTTATATAATTATTTTTCCATATTAATTCGAATAATTGGTCATTATTCATTTTATGCTTGCAATAAAATAAAAATAGAAAAAAAAAAAAATTTTAAAAAAAATACAAAAAAATCAAGAAATCAAAAAAAAAATAAAAATCAAAAAAAATAATATTAAATAAACTTTAAATAATAAAGATAATTATTATTAATTTAGATAATTATTAAAAAAATAAAAGGGATTTAATAAAAGAAAAATATTATTTATTTTTTTATATTTTAATTTCTATTAATAATAAATTTTGTTATTGATTTAGAATCAATTATTTTAATTATCTCTTCATCTTTAAGTTGACAATTTTTTACACCAAAAGTGAGATTATAAACTGAAGTTGGAAGCTTGTTTATTGAATCAAAGTGTTGAAAATCTGAACCTAAGGTTAATATATTACATGATATTGGTATAGTGTTTGTTACAATTGGTTTGTTATAATTGCTTAATATTATTTCTGATGCACCTTTTGGAATATTATTATTTCTTCGGAGTGAAACTTGGAAAAAATGTGCACATGTAAATTTTTTAATTGAAGGTGGTAAATTACCACCATATTTATTAAAATCGAAAGCTTCACCCAGAGTTAATTGCTCTAGAGATACTGGAATTGAATCATGGTCTAAATCATGATTAAATAGTGGTATTGAGAGTGATATGATATGGCTTGGAATTGAATCTTTGTTTATTATTTGATTAAACTTTGGTAATATAAGTGATTTGATTGAATTTGGTATTTTATTATGAAGAGTTATTAAATCTTGATCGAAATCTGTTAGTGTGAGATGGTTTATTGTTGTTGGGATATCTATTGGGTTTAAACAATCTATATTGGTTAAAACGAGGATATTTTTCGAATCTAAACTACCCATTGGGTTTGGTATGTTGGTCTATATAAAGAAAGTAAATATTAATAAATTAGGATATCCAATTATAAAAATTTTAATACAAGTACTACTTACTAAAAATTCATGTTCTTTTAATTGCGAAGCATTATATCTAAATTTTGGATCTAATATTAAACAATACTGAATAAAATTCTTACATATATCTGAAAGAAGGGGTGGTATGGAGGGTGCTTTATAAACTATATTATTGTTTGTATCGTTTGAATCTGGTATTTGATTATCATTATCTTCTTTTAAACCACCGGCCATCTCTACGATTGTGCAACCTAAACTCCATACATCTGATTTGCTACTTGCAGTTCCATTTCTACTTGAAACCTCAGGTGCTCTATAACGTGATGTACCAGCCATTGTACTAAATTTTGAAACATCTGTATAATATTTTGAAATACCAAAATCAATTAATTTAATATTCTGGGTTGTTGGGTCATATAAAATATTGCTTGGTTTAATATCTCTATGCACTATATGATTGTTACTGAGGAATATTAATGTGTCCGTTAATTTGGCTGTAATATGTTTGATTTCCTGTTCGCTAAATGCTCCTAATCCTAATCCTAATATATCTTCTATATTTTTACATTCTGGAATATATTCCATATAAATATATAAATCTCTTTCTTCCATTTCTTTATCTGTATCATCAATATTATTTTCTAAATTTGAGATTACTTTTTTAACTGGTCCAAATCCATACCCATAAACATTGATAATATTTTGATGTTTAATTTTTTTTAAATTATTTAAAATATCAATTTCATATTTTCCCTATAATAATATAATAAACCATTAATTTGAATACTTTAAAAATGATTATAAAAGATTTTATAAAAATTAAACTCACTTACAATAAGTTTACTTTCAACTACTTTGATTACACATAACCCATCGTTTGGTAGTAATACCTGATTTATAGTTTTATCTATTTTAAATCCTTTATAAATGCCAATATTCATAGCACCACATTTATTTATTTTTTTTTGATCAATATTCCATTCAGCAGGATTGTGCAAAGGTATATCATTTATATTTTCCATTTAAATATTAGTTAGTTTTATAAATGTTATCTTATTATTGTTATTATTATATCTAATTTATAATTATAACAATTAAATAAAATTTGTTTGTGTTAATTACTATTTCTTTAAAAATAATAAAAAAATTAGAAAAAAATTTAAAAAAAATTTAAAAAAATATAATATTTATTTTAAATTAAAAAAAAATCAAATTTTATTCGCAAGGTAAATTTGAAAGAATATTACCCAATTCTAATTTTGAGTTTATTTTACACAGTCCATTTGATTTTAGAGCGATGCCTAATTGAATGTTTGAAAATGAAACTTCTCTATTCAAATACTTTAGTGTTGATACTATTTGATCTTGACACTCTTTTAGAGATAACTTGGTTGAGTAGTTTGCTTGTAGAATAGACTGGGCACCCTCATACCCCTTTCCTCCTATTACTTTGGATTGAACTTGATTATATGCTCCTGAGGGGTCTATATAGTATAGAGATGGAAACAATGATCCATTTTGCTCGTCAATACCTCCAACCAATACTGATGCACCGTGTGATAATCCATCTTCATTTGACTTTAATAATAAATTATTTATAGTTTTGACACATGACTCAACATTCATTGGTATTTTATTATTAATACCTCTATGATTCTATAATAATAGAACGTTAATTTAATATATTATTATTTATTGATTCAATAAAATTAGTAAATATTTACCAATGCTTCGGTTCTAGCTTTATCTAAAATATCTCTTGGGTCGTTTGTGCCTATAATTGAACACATCAAATTGTCATCTATTTCAAACAATCTTTGATGGTCCTTAGACACTTCTGTTGCAATAATAACACCTTCTTCACATTGAATACCTATCATACTATAAAAAAAATCAATATTAAATCCTAAATTTTGAAAAATTAATTGAAATTAATTATACATACAAAGATCTAAATGATATAAAAAAAAAAAAAACTTTATATTTAATAAAAAATATTTATCTTTAAAATTAAACTTATATACAATACATACCCAAATATATCTTCTGTCATATTTAATACTTTTTTTTAGAAAAAATAAATTAAATCATTTTTCTTTTGAACTTAAATATTTTTTTTTTTTTTTTGGATCTACAGATAATTTATAGAAATTAAAAATAAAAAAATAAAAAATAAAAAATTATTTGAAAATAAAAAAAATTTTATTTTTATTTTTAATTTTATTTTAAAAATTATTTTTAATTTTATTTTAAATTATAATTATTACTTAAATAAATTTATATTTACTTTTAAACAACAAATTGGAAAAATGTATTATTGAAAAAGTGTTTTAAACAAAATCAAATAAATAATAAAAATATTTTACTATATAAATTTTTTTTGATAATGAACAATAAAAAAAGCAATGAAAAGTTTATCTGTAGGTGTGAAAAATGGACTCTAGCCTAATACATAGGGAAAGAAAGAGTTTTTTAGGTCTGGTATTTGAATAGTATTCCTTTTATATGGGCATGGATGTGAATATGCAAAAATAAAAAAAGATAAAAAAATTTTTTTTAATTTTCCCAATTTTTTTTTTTTTTTTTTTTTTAATTTTTATTTCATTTTTTTTGGGGTCATTTAATAAATAATGAATCAATTATTAAATAATTTAAAAAAAATCAAAATTAATAATTTATTCAAAAAAACAAAAAAAAATATCGATTTCGAAAAAGATTTAAACGAAAATGAAAAACATATAATAGGTTATTTAAAACAAGTATTGCAATATCACAATAGAAATGATATAGAATTAAGAGTTGCTGGTGGTTGGGTCAGAGATAAAGTAATTATTATTTACTATTAAAATATTCACACACACAAGCACAAATTTATACAAACTCGAATAATTGGATCACTTATTAACCCATAAAAAATTTTAATAGCTATTGAATTATAAAAATAATAAATTAGATTTAGATTTTGCAATTAATAATACTACAGGGGTAGAGTTTGTAGAGATGATTCAAAAATATAGAACAGAAAAAGAACTTAAAACAGTCTACAGCGAATATACAATTAAAATGAATCCAGAGAAATCAAAACATTTAGAAACTGTATCAATTACAATTGACGATTTTACAATAGAGTTTAATGCACTTAGATCAGACTTTTATGATGAAAACTCAAGAATACCTCAAATTCAAGTAGGAACCTTATTATCTGATTCTCTTAGAAGAGACCTAACTATCAATGCCTTGTTTTATAATATAAATACATTAATGGTTGAGGATCATTCTGGATATGGTTTAGCAGATCTTGAAAATGGTATAATAAGAACCCCACTGGAACCTTTCAACACCTTAACTGAAGATCCACTTAGAGCCTTTAGAATATTAAGATTTGCAACTAAATTTAATTTTAAAATTGAACCATTATTATATCAACATATTAAAACTATCAATGTAAGTATTTATTAGCAAAAGGAAAATCATGAAATTGCATACTTATATTACATTTTTTTTAAAGAATAATATTATTAAAAAAGTTAGTAAAGAAAGAATTTATACAGAGTTTTTTTTAATGATGTCGGTCAGGGAATATTCAGAGCAGTATTTTAGCTATTTATTAGATACAGGTATAATTAATTCAATTTTTATAGTTAATGATTACATTCCATCATCAGCTACTTTGGAACAATCAGTAGAGATATGGAAAGATTCATTAGAGTTTATCAAAACGTCAAATAACCTATTCCCAAACACAAAAGAAATAGAAAACTTAGATTTTTATATCACATTAATATTCTACCCATTATATAAAAACTGTAAATTAAAAAAAACCGAAATCATATCAGTTTTAAAAGAATTTAAATCGCCATCCAAGTTAATAAAGCAAATGGAAAGGAGTTTTGAAGTATCAGAATTGTTTTCAATTTTAATTTTAAAATATATAAATCAACTAAAAGATTCATCAAATAGCAACAGGGACCAAAAGAGTTTAAAAGAATTTTTAAAAGAAGAGGAACAAGAAAATGAAATATATGAATTAATATTTAGCATTAAAAAATATCCAGATTGGAGATTATCATTATACCTATCACTAGTAGATTTAAAATATAGGATAAATAATAACAAAATAATAATAGATGGTTTAGCGGTTAGTAATAATAGTAATAATAATATTAAATTAATAAATCTTTTAGAAGAATCATTGGAAATCAACAGTAATATAAATGATGAAACCAATATAGCAATAAAAAAACTAATAAATAATAGTAATGTAAATGGATGGTTAAATTCAGTTTTAGATAGTTTTAATGAATTATTCGAAAGCCACTGTATTCCATTGTCACAGGTTCCATTTTTGATGGATGGAAGAGAGTTGATGGATTTATTCCCATCGATTAAAGAAAAGCAAGCAAAAGACAGCAGGTTTTTAAATCAACTAATTAAAACAACTTACTTTTATCAATTAAAAAACAACATTAAAACTAAACAAGAACTAATAAATTATTTAAATAAAGATTTTTTATAAAGTATATTATTTTTTTAATTATCTTAAAAAAAAAAATATTATTTATTATTTGATAATATAACTATTATTTATTTATAAGAGAGTACGATTCCAACTATCAAAAACTTCGTTATGTGTGTTAATAGTTTCTAAATAAATTTGATTGTTATTTGGCTCTACTTTGGTTTTGATGATATGTTCGATACGACCAGATTTGACGAGATAGTCATAGTCCTTTACTTTTAAATAGGAAGCCAAGACACCAAATGCACCGTCACCAATGTATAAGGTACCGTTTATATTCTCTACTCCATCTACTAATTGTTTTGAACGTTTATACAAGTGGTAATGGTTTTCGTAACCAACTGTCAAGTGATACTTGTCGAAAACTGGACCCCAACTTTTGGCGGCTTGATCGGTGATATCGACATCCATGCCTATTCTTGTGCATGGATAGAGGGCAATATGATAGAGACCAAATTTGAATAATCTTTGATTATTTTGGCTTAAGACGGTATCTAACCATTCGACTTGATCTTCTATTTTATCAACAACCGAGCTATCCATTACTACAATAATAGTATTGTTACCAATGTAATGGTAATGTTGTAATAAACGATCTTGTGGATCTATATTTTGAAGACCTAATTGGAATGGTAAGTAACGGTTGTAGAATTGAACGTCATTTCTTTTACTGTTCCAGCTACCAGCTTCATGATTTCCGATTGTAGTAATAATTGGTAAGGTGAAACCTAAAGGAGTGATAAAAGTATCATCCCAACGTTTGAACCATTCGTCCCAGCAACGATAACAAGATACAAAGCCACTATCATAGGCAACATCTCCACCCAACATTACGAATAAAGGTTCTGCTAAAGCTGCATTAATTGATAAATCTTCACCACTTGTTGTCATACCCATATCACCACCAGTAATGAATGTATATGGTGTTCCGTCATTTGGTGCGGTTCTAAATTTACGTTCTGGATAAAAGATCATTTTATTACCTTTAGTTTCGACTGCAACTACAATATAATATACTGTTGATGGTGCTAAACCAGTGATATCAGCCCAACTAACCCATCTATTTTCTTCATCTTCGAAATTAGTCATCTTGAAAAAGGTTGCATTTGATTCGCTGCTATATGGATTATTAAATTGATCAGCTTGCATAGATAATGATCCATTGAAATAGTTTTTATGACTAGTTGTACCAAATAATGCGAATGATTGAATTGGTTCATCTTGACTATGCCAATTAGCAATGATACTATTTGATAAATCTTCTGGTACTGTTAAAATAAAATTACAAACTTGACCTGGTGTGCAACTACTACCTTGAATTCTTCTGGAATATCTACTTGATACTCTCTATACATAATAATAAATACAATAAATTAATATATGTAAAACAATATTTATATTCAATAAATGTATTAATAAATAAATACTTACAAATGGGTGAATACCAACACAAACATTATAAGTGAAAAAACTGATAATGAATGAAATAATTATAAATGAAACTAGAACTAAAACTGAATTTCTTGAACCAAATCTTTTTGCTCCATGAAGTAATGATCTAAAGTAATTGTCTAATCTATTTTTGAATTTATCATTCTTATATTCTGGAGAACGTCTTGTAATATGTAAAAAGCCAGTTTCCCAAATGATTGTTATTAATACCCAAGCTAAAGCCCAATGTACTTTTTTAAATGCTGATGCCATCCAAACAAAAAAACCTGATCCAATCCAAAATACATCAAAAGCCAACCAAGCGCCATATCTAAATCCATCTCTTTTTGGGAGCCCTTTTCTCGCATATGAAACAATACCATATATAATTAAACCAAAACTGATTAAGATAATTATCCCAAGTATAACACCCAAAGTAATTAAATAAAATAGGTTTGGGTATTGCATTTTTTTTTAATTTCTATATTGTTATTGTTTTATTTAAAAGTTATTATTGCTATTGTTGTTTTAAATTTTTATTATTGTTTTAAAAAAAAAAAAAAAATAAAATAAAATAAAATAAATTTAATCTATTTAAATAATTATTTAATAATTAAATTTATAAACAAAACAACACAAAATATAATGTTACAGATAAAATAGTACAATTATATATAAAATATATATATAATTTTAAAATGTGTGGTGATGAAAGAAAAAAAAATAGTTTTTTTAGGTTCGCTTCGAAAGAGATATTTTATTTTTAAAAAAAAAAAAAAAAAAAATTTTAAAAAAAAAATATGAATAAAAACTAAAAAAAAATAAAAATAAAAAAATAAAAAAAAAAAAAAATAACAAATAAATGAGTAAAAAATCTCAAAAAATAAAACTATAAAAATTTTCATTTTTAAAAGATGATTTAGATTTATTATGTTAACATAATATTGGGAAAAAAAAAAATTAATAATTAATGATTTTTCTTCTTTTTATCTTTACTCTTTTCTTTTTTTGGTTTAGCACTGATAGTATAGGTTTTACCACTATTTAAAGATTTTAAAAGGGTATCAACTACCTTTTTTTTAATTCCTTTTTGATCACTTTTAGAATCTGACATTACATTTTCATTAATATTGACATGAGCAACGGTTGGACCAGAGGTAAGTTGAGCTTGAATATTGTGGAACTTGTCAGTATTTTCATTGAATGTACCTTGCATATCAATGTGGATTGATCCCTATTGTATAAAAAAAAAAAATTAATTTAATTTGAAAAAAAAAAAAAAAAAAAAAAATTCAAATATTTACATATTTTGCAATAACTGTTTGTTTATTACCAAAAACACCTGCATAATCTAGTTTTTCAGCTGCCTTATTAACATCTATAAAAGAATTTATTAATATAATATAGATTTTAATTTTTTAATTTTATTTTTTTTATAATTACCATGCTTTTGTTGTTTGTTTGTATTACCTAAACCTGCAATTGGTGGTCCCTCTGTTATAATTAAGTCCAATGATAATGCAAATGAAATTAAAGATAACAAAATTAAAAGTGATAATGTATGTTTTTTTAATGATTCCATATTTTGTAAAAATTAAATAATATTGAAAAATAAAAAAATTAAACAAGAAATATTTATAAAAAAAATATAATTACAAAAAAAAAAAAAAAAAATTAAATAAAAATAATAAAAAACAATTCAAATAATAAAAAATATGCTAAACTTGCTTTAATAATCTAAATTTAGGTGATGGGGGTTTGTAAAATGTGATGAGTGGGGGAAAATAATTAAAAGTATTGGTGTTGAAAATGGTGGTTAAAAAACTTTTTTTTTTTTTATTATAAAAAAAATTTAATTTTATGAATTTTTTTTATTTATTGTTTAAAAAGGATATATTACTCATAATCTGAATCATATACTTCATCACTTTGCTCAATATCATCACTATTATTATAAGAAATGATATTACTACTATTATTATTATAAATATCATTATTATTATTTGAATTTGATCCATTATCATTTGAATGAATTCCTGCTTCATCACATAAATGAGGAACTTTTCTTCTACGTGTATTTATAAACCAGTTTGAAATTTGATTTGGTGTTAATCCAGTTACTTTTTGTAGGTCTTCTTTTTCTTCATTTGTTGGATAAGGATGAGAAATGTGATCTTTGATCCAATTTTCTAAAATGGATTTGGACTCTGTGCTTAATTTAGTGCCTTTTCTTGGTCTTGATTTAATAGGGAGATTATTATCTTTATTTGGAATTAAAGAGTATCCATTGATAATTCTAATATAATTGTTATAAAATAAATCAGTATTGTTAAAGTGAGATCTATAAATATCTGTAATTTCATTTAATGATTCTATATGTAATTTGATATATTCAAATAATTTGATGTCTTTATTTCTCTTGATTGAGGTTGCTGAAGTTGAAGTAGTGTTTTTAATATTGTTTTTATTGAGGGTTGAAGTTGGAGATTTTTCTTTATCTGGTTTGTTATCATCGATGCTATTTTCCCCATCACTGCTGGTCTCTTCTTCGTCTTGAAAACTATTGAAATGTTTTTCAAATAATTCCTTAAACAGTTGATATCCTTGAACCTTTGAAAAATCATTATTTAACTTGAAATGATTTTCATCAATAACTATATTATCTATCAAAGCATTGTACCACTTTAATAGCAAAGCATCATTCTGGTTTTTATAATCTTTTTCTTTATTTGACTGAGATTTAGATTTACTATGTGTATTGGTGGTGATAATGTTTGGATTACCATTTCTAATTGGTCGTGTTGATGTAGTTGTGGTTGTTGGAGTAGAGTTATTAATTTTATTACTATTACTTTGAGAATCAGAGTTTTTATTATGATGCTTTGATGATTCTGTTTCTTTTTCTTTATTTCTTTCATTTTTATTAAAACTATTTAATGTTGGAATAGGCAGAGTATTACCAGCAGCTAAAGAATTATTAATACTAATATTATTGTTATTGTTATTATTATTATTATTTAATACACTATTTTGTTGATATAATAGATGTTGATCGTTATTTCTATTCAAATTTGTATTATAATAATTATTTTGGGATGAGCTGTCTATTAGAGGCACATAATGAATTTGGTTTGGAAAATAACCTTGAAACCCTATATTATTTAATGGTATATTATTATTATTGTTATTTGATTCATGAACTGCTATTGGTATAATATTGTTATAGTTTGGTGTTAAATAGTTTGCATATACAACATTACTATTATTAATACTATTATTATTATTATTGTTATTATTATCTTGTGAATTATTATGAGGAACATATAATATTGAGTTGGTTTTATTAATATAACCATTATTTAAATCCTGTGAATTAACCGGTGAATTTACTGTAGAATCAGCTGTAAATGACTCTGAAATCATAGTTGTATTTTTATTATTTTTTTCTTTATCTATTATATTTGTATTCATTTATAAAAAAATTATTGTATTGAATAAAAAAAAAAAAAAATTAATAACAACAACATTTTTTTTTTATTTTTAATCATTTTGAAATAAATGTATAGTTTTTATAAATAATTAAATATATGTATTTAGAAAAAATAAATAAAAAAATTAAGACCACAAAAAAAAAATAGAGTGTGATATATGTTTTTAAATTATTAAAAATTACCACCAACAAAAATTTTCACCCACACATGAACACCAATTATAATTATAATGTATAAACATTTGTTTTATAAAAAAAGAAAAGAAAAGAAAAGAAAAGAATATTAAAAATAAACTATTATTTTATTTTTTATTTGTTTTATTGGTTTTGTTGTGTATTTTATAAAAAGTGTGTGTGATAAATAAATAATAAAAAAAATTTAATCTAATTTGAGTTCGAATTTTTCCCAACGGACACCATCTTTATCAACAACAACAATATCTGCGAAATCACCAGTATAGATATCTCTTTCACCTGCTGATGTAATTGCATCTTTAACAAATGAAACAACTTGGTCACATGAAACATCTCCATTACCTTGAATAATTTGTTGATTACGTTTAGCGACCTATTTAAAAAAATAATAAAAAAATAATATTAATATTTATTAAAGACAACGATTATAGATTGATTGTGCTGATCATGTATCATCATCACAAGATATACTTAAATACATACTTGATTATCTAATAATGGAATAACCAATTGATTACCAGAACCTTGTGATGAATATTTAACTCTTTCATGTGAACCAACAGCATCATAAGTCCAAATCCAACCTTCGCCCTTTTCATCGACACCTGCGACTAAATTAAAGGTATAATAAGGGAAAAATCTTTTATAATACAAAGTGTTTGATAAAAATTGGGCAATTGCTGGAGTGCTCATTGGTTTACCATGTTCTTTTTGATATGTTTCTAACATTAACTTTAAACGTTTTTGTAAAGCAATTGTATCTGCTTGCATACCTGATGTTGCTAAAACACATTTATTGGTTCTATTATTAATTTAATTCCAATTTTATTATATTTATAATTTCATTTTTTTTTTTTTTTTTATTTATTAATTTATTAATATAAAATTAGTATTTAAATATTTTAATTAACATATAATATATTATAAAAACCTACAATTGGAAAACTTTTGTATAATGTCTAGTTTGAATACCATAACCACCATCGGACATACGAGTATCACCAGCAATAACACAATAATCTTTACCAGCTACAGCCATAACTGTACTATATTATTTTTTAAAATTATTGATGGTTAGTATTAGTTTTATTATTTTGAATTGTCTGTGTGTAATAATATTTACCCTCCATTATCAACATATGCTTCAAATCTACCATGATTGATTGGTTGTTGTTTACTTTGTTCTGGTAATGCACTAAGTTTTAATGTTTCCATTATTTATTATTATTTATTATTATTTATATATATTAAAAAAAAAAAAAAAATGATTATTTACAAATATAAAAAAATTAATTAAAAAAAATAAAATTAAAAAAAGTGAACAAGCTGAAAAAATTAAAAAAAATTAAAAAAAAAAAAATTAAAAAAAAAATTAAAAAAAAATAAAAAAAATAAAAAAAAAATTAAAGAAAAAAAAAATAAAAATAAGAAAAAAAGAAAAAAAAATTCATCATTTTTTTTTAATTATAATACAAAGCTATAAAATAGTTTTTATAATTTAGATACAGGATAGTTATAAAAGAAATGACGAAGATTAATATAAACAAAGAGGCAAATAATCAAATAAACAACCCTAAATACATAAATAAAAAAAAATTAAAAAAATTAAAAATAAAAAAATTAATAAATAAAAAATTGTAAAGTTTATTTAAAAAAATATTTTTAGATTTTATTTTTATGATTATATTTATTTATGTTGTTCTTATATATTTATTTATATTGTTTGTTCTTTAAAATTGTATTTTTGGAATAGGTTAATAATTTCTGTGGATTGTGGAATTGATTTAATTAGATTTTCATTTAGTTTTTCAGGATGATACTTCAATAGCATTTCCAATTCGAAAAATATATATGATGGTTCGGATGAGGATATGAAGCTGGTTATTGTTGATGTATATTCGTCCAATATAAATTTTGCCAGTGTAAAATTACCATTTATCACCATATTTATATAAAATTTATTTGCAGTACCACAATTATAATCTATTAATCTTTTCAACTGGAATGAATTCATACAGTTTGAAATTAAAAGATAAACTAGGTCACTATATTCGAATGGTAATGCATTGGTAAAAATAATATCCAATGGATCATCATAATTATTATTATTTTGGTCATTTTCTGAATATATTTTATCCATAGTTTTAAAAAATAAATAAAATCTTTTAAATTTTAGTAATGTTTCTAAATAATAGTTAATGTAGATTGATTTAAGATGAATATATGTGGATGCGTATGGAGTTGAAAGCTGTAGCAAAATTTGATCAATGATGGTGTTTATTGAATTTACGAAACTACCATTTTCATGACACCCCAATATATAATCATAGGTGAATATGTTTGGATCTATGTTATTTAATAGAAATGCATCGTCATCAGTTTGTGGGGGATAAAATACCAGATCTGGTTTTCTAATTAGAAAGTATCTTAAAGAATGGGAGAGGCCATGCTCGATTGGGATTAAATGGTTTTTGTAGACACTTCTAATTTCATCGCAGCTTTTTTTATCAACATCTAAACACCCTATTAAAAACAAGTATAAATAATTCAATATGTTTATAACAGTAGGTGTAATATTTGATTCCTTTTGTAAAATGAATTGAATGAAATGCTTTATAGTATCAACATTATGTTTTCTTATATCTGTATCATTAGATGAGTTTTCATGGTTGAATAAAGATTGAGATAATTCTTCATTTAAAATTTCTTGATTGTTCATAAATTCTATATAGAATTTAGCAGCACCCCAATCACTGTTTTTTAATGCCAAATATATATATAGTTCTAAATTATCTTGACCAAATTTTTGAATCAATAATTGTTTTTTAAATGAATCTTTAAATAACTGTAAATTTTCGTAAGCATAAATTATATCGAAAACTTTATTAAAGTTATCTATTAATCTACCATTTAATATTATGAATTCTATTACCGTTTCTTTATCAAGACCTTCAAGATTTTGTGCATCTGGTGGGTTTTCTGTACATGAATATAGTTCGAATGTTCCCAATAGTTTCCTTTCTAATTGTGAATCTTGCAATACAATTCTATACTTTTCAAAAGCATTATTGTTTTTTATTTGGTTATATAATTTTACATTTTTAAAATTACTGGATATTAAAAGTTGCAGTTTTTTCAAAATTTCTTTTGAATTTATTTCTTTTGAATTTTCATTGTAACATCCTGGATTACTAAATATTTCGTTAACATTTTTTAAAAAGCTTGAATTGTCTCTGGTTTGTTTGCAATGTCCATTGTCGCACACACATTGTTTGGAAAATGCAAAATAAACTTTCAGTATCTTTAATATAGTGTCTAGTGGGGTGCTGATTTCTATGCTGTGAAAATCAGACCAATTGTTTAAACAATCTTCACTCGAAATTAAATCTAATTTTATTAATCTTGATACTGTATTGTAACATTCAATTTTCTTCAAAATAGATAGTTTTATTTTTTTTATTTGGTGATTATTTTTTAATTTTATAATTGAACCCAAGTTTGGAAAAAATGATAATTTTTCTTTGATGAATGATTTGAAATCTTTAATAATATTATTACTATTATTATCACTATTATAATTTATTTTATGATTATTATTATTAATAAAATAATCTATTATATAGTTTATAATCTGTGGATCAATGATTGGTCTTTCTACTGAAATGTTTAATGAATTATATTTAGTTTTATTTATACTATTGCTACTGTTATTAAGTACTATTATTAGTTGTTGTATTACCAAAAAACTGGACCACTTGAGTGCTGTTTCAAAATGAGTAGAGGTAACTTCAAAAAAGTGTGGGGCGAGAATTAATAATTTTAAAAAATCAAATGATTTTTTATAATTTTTTTTTAAAAGAATTTCGACTATATCAATCGATTCTAATTCTGCCCTTCTCCTTTCCACCAATAGATTAAATATCTCTTTTGTTTCTATATTATCTTGATCATTTTCTAAAATTTTGATGATTGAATTTTTTGTTATTAAAAGTAATTTATTTTGATTTATTTTTTCTTTTATAATATAAAATTTTTTATTTTCTATTAAAATAGATAAATCATGAATATCATCTATTTTTCTATTTTGATATTTAATTACTGATTTTATTTCTCTCGAGTCTGAAAAATGGATAATTTTTAAAATATAGTTTAAAAGAAATTTATTCCTGAATACTTTAAAAAATAATTTATCGTCCATATTTTTTTATTTAATTTAATAATTATAATTTATAAAAATAAAATAAAAAAATATTTTTTTATGATTTTAATTATTTTTTTTATATATCTTCCCCCATTTTTTAATATATTAAATATACTTAACAAATACCCCAAAAACGATAATTTAATTAAGTTTAAATAAAACGATAAAATTAAGTATTTAAAATAATTCTTTTAATTTTAAAGATTTAAATTAAAAAAAAAGAAAAAATTATTATTATTTTATATATTAGATTGTTATTTATAACTTAATTTTCCTTTTTTTCTTTATGTGTATAAATTATTTGGAATAAAAGGGTTAAAAATTATAATGTTAATTTTTTTATTTTGTGGTTAAAAAAACTAAATAAATTTTATTCTTTTTTTTGCCACTTAAAAATTTTTTATGTGAAGTTTTAATTAATATACACTATAGTTTAATTTTTTATTATTGTTAGTTTTGTTACAGTTTTTGGAATGAATATTAATTCATCATCCGATATTTGGTAGTCTTTTACACCAAATGTTAAATTGAATACTGATGATGGGATATTTGTTAGTGAAGCAAAATCTTTGAAGTTGGAACCCAATGTTAATGAACGAGTTGATTTTGGTATGCTTTCTTTAAGAATGGAATGGTTGTAGTTATTCAATACTAATGAATGTACTGTTTTTGGTATATTGTTGTTTTTTTTTAATGCAGCTTTGAAATTATAACTACATTGGAATTTTTTAATGGACTCGGGAATATTGCCTCCATATTCGTTAAATTCAAAATCTTCACCAAGAATTAGCTCTGTTAATGTATTTGGTATTGATTCTTCATCCAAATCTTGATTAAAAGAATTCAAAGTGAGTGAGGTAATTGTTGATGGTATAGAATTTGGTTCAATTGGGTGATTGAATATCGGTAAGGTGATATGAGTGATATTTGGTGGTAATGTAGAGAGAAGTCCACTTAAATTATTATTGTTGAATTCTGGAAAAATTAAATGTTTTTTATTTATATATATAGTATTATCTACACTGATGGGATCTTTATTTAATAATTCGAAGGTATTATCTTGACAAATTGCTATTTTTTTTAATATTTTTATATCCCTTTCTGATAAATCATTAACATTTTTCTATTTATTAAATATATAAAGTAAAAATGAAAATTAGTAAAATTTTAATAATGATTAATATGATTAACTACTACCTACAATGAAATCATGTTCTAAAAGTTCGATAACGCTTGGTCTAAATGATGGATCAGCAATTAAGCAATGTTGAATAAGGTTTTTACACTCATAAGATAAATGTTCTGGTATTTCAGGTTTACCATTTACTCTATCTAAACTGCCACCGGCCATCTCAATTAGTGTACAACCAACACTCCATATATCTGATCCTCTACCTGCTTTATTATTTTGGTATAATGCCTCTGGTGCCATATGAGTAGGTGTTCCTGCAAATGTATGATAATTTGATTGTTTATCGCCATAAAACTTTGAAAATCCAAAATCGATAAGTTTTATATTCACTTGATTATCATTTGAATTGTGATACAATATATTGCTTCCTTTTATATCTCTATGAATAATTTTCTTTTTATGAAGAAAAGCCAATGTGAATAAGAGATAATGTGCAACTTTTTTGATTTCGTTTTCTGAAAATTGATAACCACCATTGTCATTTATTATCTCTAGTATAGTTTTATACTCACTCTTATACTCCATAAAAATGAATAAACAATCCTTGTGATCCCCATAGTCACCAACTCTAAAGTCATAAATTTCTATTATATTATTATGTTTTATTTTTTTTAATTTTTCTAATGTTTCAATTTCGTTTTTTAAAATAGACTGTATTAAAAAAATATTAGATAAATAATTTTTTAATTTAATTTATTATTATAAACTTACATATTGTTCTTTTGAAATAATTTTTAAAACACATTGTCCATTCTCGTTGGGTATTTTAATTTCATCATTATAATTATTTTGCATATTATCTTTCTTTTTTGCTAAAAAAACACCAACACAAAAATTTGAATTGGTTTTATCTTTATTCAATGGTTTATTAAAATCAATACTCCATTCTTCCTCGAGTTTATAATTATTGTTTATTGATAAGCCTGATACATCAGGTGTGGTATCCATTTTATTAAAAAACAGGAAAGAAAGCTATTGAAGATAAAATATTTTTTTAAAAATTAAAAATTTTAAAAAAAATAATGCTTGGCAAGCATTATTTTAATTAATAAAAAATTCAAAAAAATTAAAATAATTAAAATTTCTTCACCAAATTTTAAAAAAAAAAAAAAAAAATTTTTAATCACACTTTTTTATCTTTAACATTATATGATTTCTTATTTGATGTAAAAAAATTATTCATTTTATCTATTTTATAAAATTTACCAAATTGATTTAAAAAAACAACACTCTTTATAATTATTTTTTTGAGTGTCATTAAACTAAAAATATAATATAAAAAAAATAACAAAGCAAAGATTTTTTTTTTAAAAACGTTTTATCGATATTTTTTATTTTTTTTTTTTTGGTGTTTTTTTATTTTCTATTGACATTCATTTTTGTAACTGTTGGTATATTTTTTAAAATCGTCATTTGATAGATTGCAGTTTTCAACACCTAAAGTTAAATTGAAAAGAGATGGTGGTAAATTTGATAGGGATTCGAAATGTTTATAATTGGAGACTAATGTTAATCACGATGGATAATACCTTGTTCATGCAATAACTTTAACGATTCACAAAAATATTTGATAACCTTGGCAATTTGTAATTCGGAAAAGTTAAAGGTGGGTTCTGTTACTCTTTTGTTTTTGAATATATCTGAAATGGTTTCGTAACCTTCTAAATACTCCATATAGATGAATAAGCATTCCTGACCATCAGTATGCACCCCTTTTCCATATCCATAAAATTTGATAATATTTTCGTTTTCAATCCCAATAAGTTTATTTAATGTTATAATTTCGTGTTTCCCCTAAAATAAATAATATTAATAATTTTTTTTTTTAATTTAAAAAAAAAAACTTACCATTTCTTTGTGAAGAACGATTTTAATTGCACAACAGCCTTCGTTTGGTATAAGGATGTTGTTTATTTTACCATCTAGTTTTTTACCTTTGAATACTCCAATGCTACAGCCTCCTTTTCCTATTGGATTTTTGTAATCGATGAACCACTGAAAACGATCGTGTTTATCAACAGAACTTTTATCAAAAGGATAGTTTGTTCTATTTTTTGTTAATTTTGTTATTGTTTTTGGAATGAACTGTTTAATTTCTTCATCTGTTAATTCACAATTCTCTACTCCTAAAGTTAAATTAAATATTGATGATTGCGGAAGTTTTGATAATGATTCGAAATCTTTGAAGTTTGAACCCAAAGCTAATGTATGAATAGTTTCTGGAACCCTCTGTTTGATAATTGGAAAGTTATAGTTGTCTAATACCAAAACTCGAACATTTTTTGGTATATTGTTATTTCTTTTTAATGGTTTCTTGAATTTATAACTACAAGTTAGTGTTTTAATTGACATTGGGAGATAATCACCATAGTCATCCATTTGAAAGACTTGACCAAGAACTAACACTGTGACACTTTCTGGAATTGAATCTTCCCCAGATCATGATTGAAAGATGGAATGCTGAGATATGTTATAGATGATGGAAAAGATTTAGGTATGATTTCTTGAATAAATGAATTTAATGTGAGTGAAGTTATTGATTTAGGTAATGAATTTGGTAAAATGATTTGATCAAATGAATTTAAAGTAAGTGCTGTAATATTTGATGAAATATATTCATTGAAATCTGGTAAAAAAAGGTGAGTTTTATCGCTAACTATACAAGAAATTTTATTTAAATCTTTATTTAATAAAGTGATTTGGTTTTCTGGTAATTCTATAGGTCTAGAGCTACTTTTAGGCGATATAATAAAAGAATTATTAGTATAATGAAAGGAAAAATATTGCCATTTAAAAATAAATACATACTAAAAATTCATGATTAAGTAGTACCTTTTTTAATATTATACTTTATAGTTTAATTTTTTATTATTGTTAGTTTTGTTACAGTTTTTGGAATGAATTTTAATTCATCATCTGATATTTGGTAATCTTTTACACCAAATGTTAAATTGAATACTGATGATGGGATATTTGACAGTGAAGCAAAATCTTTGAAGTTGGAACCCAATGTTAATGAACGAGTAGATTTTGGTATGCTTCCTTTAACAATGGGATGGTTATAGTTATTCAATACTAATGATTTCACTGTTTTTGGTATATTGTTGTTTTTTTTTAATGCAGATTTGAAATTATAACTACATTCGAATTTGTTAATGGACTCGGGAATATTACCTCCATATTCATTAAATTCAAATTCTTCACCAAGAATTAGCTCTGTTAATGTATTTGGTATCGAGTTTTCATCTAAATCTTGATTAAAAGAATTCATAGTGAGCGAAGTAATTGTTGATGGTATAGAATTTGGTTCAATTGGATGATTGAATATCGGTAATGTGATATGAGTGATATTTGATGGCAATGTAGAGAGAAGTCTACTTAAATTAGTATTGTTGAATTCTGGAAAAATTAAATGTTTTTTATCTATATATATAGCACCAAATACACTGAAAAGATCTTTATTATATAATTTGATGGTATTATCTTGACAAATTGTTATTTTTTTTAATATTTTTTTATTCCTCTCTGATAAATCATTAACATTTTTCTATTTATTAAATATATAAAGTAAAAATGAAAATGAAAATTAGTAAAATTTTAATAATGATTAATATGATTAACTACTACTTACAATGAAATCATGTTCTAAAAGTTCGATAGCTCTTGGTCTAAATAATGGTTCAACGATTAAGCAATGTTGAATAAGGTTTTTACACTCATCAGATAAATGTTCTGGTATTTCAGGTGTACCATTTACTCTGTGGAATAAATCACCTCCGGCCATCTCAATTAGTGTGCAACCAACACTCCATATATCTGATCTTCTACCTGCTTTATTATTTTGGTATAATGCTTCTGGTGCCATATGAGTAGGTGTTCCTGCAAATGTATGATAGTTTGATTGTTTATCGCCATAAAACTTTGAAAATCCAAAATTGAAAAGTTTTATATTCACTTGATTATCATTTGAATTGTGATACAATATATTGCTTCCTTTTATATCTCTATGAATAATTTTCTTTTTATGAAGAAAGGCCAATGTGAATAAAAGATAATTTGCTACTTTTTTGATTTCGTTTTCTGAAAATTTATAACCCTTATTGAGCAGTTCTGATATAGATTTATAACCTTTAATATACTCCATAAATACAATTAAACATTCCCTATATTTCTCATAATCCCCATAATAATGACCATAGGTTTCTAAAATATTATTATGCTTGATATTTTCCAATTGTTCCCAAGTGCCAATATGGATATACTTTATAAAAAATATTATTAGTACAAAGCTAAAAATTATTTTAAGTATAATAAATCTACTTACATTGTCTTCTTTAGAAAAAATATTAACTATACATTCTCCATTATTTGGAATTATTTTGTTATTAAAAATACCATTTAATATGCGTGCTTTAAAAAAACCTATACAATTCTTTGATTCAGAAAAATATAATTCATTATTGCAATCAATTTCCCAGTCATTTATTAATGGTTTATTAATTTCAATTGGATTTGTTCTATTTATTGTTAATTTTGTTATTGTTTTTGGAATGAACTGTTTAATTTCTTCATCTGTTAATGCACAATTCTCTACTCCTAAAGTTAAATTAAATATTGATGATTGGGGAAGATTTGATAATGATTCGAAATGTGTGAAGTTTGAACCCAAAGTTAATGTATGAATAGTTTCTGGAAAACACCTTATGGTAATTGGAAAGTTATAATTGTCTAATACCAAAACTAGAATATCTTTTGGAATATTGTTATTTCTTTTTAATGGTTTCTTGAATTTATAACTACAAGTTAGTATTTTAATTGATGCTGGGAGAAAACCTCCATTGTACTCTAATTCAAAAACTTGACCAAGAACTAACTCTGTGACACTTTCTGGAATTGAATCATACTCTAGATCATGATTGAAAGAAGGAATGCTGAGATATGTTATAGATGATGGAATAGAATAAGGTTTGATTTCTTGATTAAATGAATTTAATGTGAGTGAAGTTATTGATTTAGGTAATGAATCTGGTAAAATGATTTGATTAAATGAATATAAAGTAAGTGCTGTAATATTTGGTGAAATTGATTTTAAAAATGGTAGATAATTATATTCATCGAAATCTGGTAAAAAAAGGTGACTTTTATCGCTATCAATACAAGAAATTTTATTTAAATCTTTATTTAATAAAGTGATTTGGTTTTCTGGTGATTCTATAGGTCTAGAGCTACTTTTAGACTATATAATAAAAGAATTATTAGGATAATGAAAATAAAAATATAACGCTATTTAAAAATAGATTCTTACTAAAAACTCATGATCAAGTAGTTCTGAGGCAGTTGGTCTGGTTTTTGGGTCCATTAATAAACAATGCTGAACAAAGTTTCTGCAGTTATTTTTTAAATGAGCAGGTATCTTTGGAATACCCCTTTCATTCTTTTCTAAACTACCACCTGCCATTTCTATCAATGTACAACCTATACTCCAAATATCTGATTTACTATTTGCAATACCATTTTGTAATAGAACTTCTGGTGCCATATGAGTTATGGTTCCTATTAATGTATAATACCTTGAATCTTCTCCTTTAAATGATTTTGAAATACCAAAATCTATTAGCTTTATATTATTACTTTTATTAAGATCTATCATGATATTATCACCTTTTATATCTCGGTGAATGATTTGCATATTATGGAGATCAACAACAACTTTTACGATCTTTTTAATGATTTTAGAAATTTCATTTTCTGAAAATATTTTACCTTGCTCAATAACTTGTTTAATAGTTTTATATCCTTTCAAATATTCCATATAAATATATAAATTGTTTTTATCTTCATCATACCCATAAATTTTAATAATATTATTGTTTTTTCGAAATGCCTCCTCTAATCTATTTAATATTTGTAACTCATATCTTCCCTAATTTAAAAACAAATATATTAATAAATATAATTATTGTTATTATTATTATTAATATTATAGTTACTGTTTTCTCTTTTAAAATAATTTTAACTGCATATATTTTTGCATCATCTTTTTTTTTTGCTTTGAAAACTCCTAGACTTAATGAACCTTTACCCAATGGTTCTTTTTCGATAACCCATTCATTTTCGTCATGAGTTGGTATTGGTATTTTATCCATCCAAAACTATTATAAAAATACAGATGATTTTTTATGATATTAATAATCTATCGAAAAAATTTTAAAAAAATTAAAAAAAAATTTTTAAAAAATAATTTAAAAAAAATTAAATATTATTTAATTTTTTTATTTATTTTATTTTCAAATATTTAATTTTTTCAAATAATTTACTTTTGGGGGTTAATTCTATTAATTATTATTCTTGGGATATTATTTCCTATCTGAGATTTGATTTCTTCATCTGTTAAACTACAATTCTTTACACCAAAAGTGAGATCGATAAGTGATACGGGAAGATTTGATAATGATTGGAAATGTTTATAATCGCTACCTAATGTCAATGCTTGAAGAGTTGTTGGAAAACTTGATCTTGAAATTGGTTGGTTGTAATTTTTAAATTCTAAACATAGAGATTTTTTGGGTATATTATTATTTGTTTTGAATGGTGCTGTAAACTCGTAGTCACATGAAAATTTTTTCATTGATGGAAGATTTGAACCATTTTCAATAATATTAAAATTTTTGAAATGAGCTTCTTCAATATTTGTATGAATAGACTCTTCTAATAATTCCTGATTAAAATTTTCAAAATTGATAGAGTTGATGCTATCTGGTAATTTTTCGAATTGTTGATCAAACATTGATAATTCCAGATGTTTTATATTTTCTGAAATTTGTAGTGATTCAAGTGGTCCATTAAAAGTACTATCTTTGTAATGAGTACTAGGATCTTTATTGATATAAGAATGTATTCTACCATTTGGGGTCTATAATATTAAAAAGGTAACTTAATTAGTTTTTTATTTTTTTATTGCCCCATATTTTAAAACTTACTAAAAAATCGTGTTGGAGTAATTCAGTTATTCTTGGTCTATCTTCTTTTTTTGTAATAATAGCATAACTGATAAAGCTTTTACAAGCCTGACTTAATTCTTTTGGAATGTCTGGTAAACCGCTCTTTAAGTTTATTTCCCTAATATTGCCACCAGCAGCCATAATCAAAACCATACCAACACTATATACATCTGATAAACTACCTGTAATATTTGAATATTTTGATTCAGGCGATTCAAAATCTCTTGTTCCTACGGGACCTGTATTGTCTTCATAAAATGATCTCCTTGAAATACCATAATCGATAAACTTTAAATCAATGTCACCATTACTATCTTCTTTAATATATATATTTGCTGATTTTACATCTCTATGAATTGTTTTATTTTCATTAAGAATTTTTGATGCTATTAAAAGAGATGAAGCAACTTTAGCTAAATTCTTTTCGTTTAATGTTGTTTTATTTTCTAAAAAATTTTCCAAGTTTTCATAACCTTCCAAATGCTCCATAAATATAAAATATGCATCTTCTTCTTTTCTTTCAGTGTTTTTATCTTGAATTACCGTAACTGTACCTTCCTTATAATCAAAATATCGACCTATATTTTCATTTTTTATATTTTTTAAGTTATCTAAAAATTCCTTTGTCTATTAATAAAATAAATTTATAATTAATATAACAAATAAAAAACCAAAACATTATATATAAATAAAAAACTAGTTACCTCTTTTCTTTTCTGTGAAAATTTTATAACAACTTTAGATAAATCTTTTTTATTTGTTGCTCTATAAACACCAAGACTAAAATGCCCAATACCCAAAAAATCTTTTTTATAATCTATGGTCCATTCATTGTCGAGAGATGATGAAGATATCATTTGATAAATAATAATAAATAAATATTAATAAATAAATTATAAAAAATTTAAAAAAAATATTTTAAAAATAAATTGATTAAAAAAAAAAAAATCAAAATTTAAAAAAAAAAATTTAAAAAAATAAAATTTGAAAAAAAAAAAACCAAACTTTTTTTTCTTCATTTTTTATAAAATAATTTTTTCAATAAATGGAAACAGAACAACCAGACTATGCATCACTTTTAGTAGATCAAAGTCCTGTTGATCAACACGATCACTCCCAGTGGCAAATCGATTACCAAAATCCATTAGGAAAAGGCGGCTATAGCATTGGAGTATTCAAAGGTATAAAACTAGATGGTATAATAAACAACATCCTTATACCAAACGAAGGTTGGTGTGCAATTAAAATCGTTCCTCAAGAACAAATTGTAAGTTTTTTTAAATTTTAAAAATTAAAAAAAAAATTATTAATATTATTTATTTTAGGGGAAACACGAAATTATAACATTAAATAAACTTATTGGGATTGAAAACGAAAATATTATCAAATTTTATGGATATGGCAAAGGGGTGTATACCAATGGTCAGGAATGCTTATTCATCTATATGGAGTATTTAGAAGGTTACGAAACCATTTCAGATATAATCAAAAACAAAAGAGTAACAGACTCCACCTATAACTTTTCCGAATTACAAATTGCCAAAGTTATCAAATATCTTTGTGAATCGTTAATGTTACTGCATAAACAAGGTATTCTCCATCGTGATATCAAAGGAAGCAATATATTGATCAATCAAATAAATGGTAATATAAAGTTAATCGATTTTGGTGTTTCAAAACCATTCGAAAACAATTCACAATACAATACATTAATAGGTGAGTAATAATATAATGGCATCATTTTATTTTTTATTTATTCAATTCAACTTGTATTCTAATACAAACTATTACTAATTACTTAGGTACAACGACTCATATGGCACCGGAGGTTGCTTTTAACAGTTCCAATAGCAAACCTTCAAGTAGATCTGATGTGTGGAGTGTTGGCTGTACCATGATCGAAATGGCAGGTGGTGATTTAACAAAAAAAATCAGCTCAGCACCTATTATTCCCCAACATTTATCTGATATCTGTAAAAATTTTATCCAACATTGTTTAGTTTTGGATGTCAATAGCAGATCCAGAGCAGCTCAACTTTTAAATCACGAATTTTTTGTATGTATAAATTATAGTGTATAATATATATCGTAATAAAATATTAACAATTATTTATTTTTATTCAGAACTCATTGGATAATAATAATAATTCAAACTTTTTTAAAAAACCACTCGAAATTAAAAATAATGATATAATGACAATGAAGTCATTGTCAGAAACTGTAAAATGTGTTTCATTACCAGAATTTAACGAACCACTTGAAATGATTACACAATTAATACCAACAACTGTCACCAGTCTCATCTTACCAATATTTGATAAACCTATAGAAGCAGGGTCTATACCATCACATATCAAATCGCTTACAATAACATCATTTAATCAAGATATTGGTGATGAATCTATTCCAGAAACATTAGAAGAATTGAATCTTGGTTCAGTATTCGAGTTTAATGAAAATGGTGGTAATTTACCATCAACTATTTCAAACCTATCTTGCGGATATTCATTTACACAACCTCTAAAAAAGAATAACAACATTCCAAATAAAATCATAACATTATCACTAGGAAACTATAATCTCCAAATAAACCAAGGGGTTTTACCAACCACAATCCAAACATTAACCTTAGGCTCCAATTATAAACATTTCGAATCCCTATCAAATTTACCACCATCTCTTTTCAATTTAACTTTAGGTGTTGGAAACTGCATTCTATCATACGAAGATATTAAAAAATATATACCACCTACAGTTACAAAAATCATTATCAACAGAAAATAAAACACCAAAAAAAAAAAAAAAAAAATACATGTAATATGTTTTTGTAATAATAATTATAGTTTAAAAATTATAAAATTAATAATTATGCGCACAATAAAAATTAATCGATTAAATTTGATCTTTTTTTTAATAACATTTTTTTTTTTTTTTTTTTTTTTTTTTTGTTTAATTAATTAATTTTTATTTATTTTTTATTATTTATTTATTTTTGGTTTCCCCAAAGTTTCACTATTAGGGTTTTGAAATTTCCAAACAGTCAATTCACAATTTTATTTATAAAATCAAAAAAAAAAAAAAAAAAATTAAAAAATTAAAAAAAATTAAATAATTTTTTAATTTTTTTTTAATTTTTTAATTTTTTTTTCTAATAATTTAACTTTATTTTCATTTTTCAATATTTCTTTAAAAAAAAAAAAGATTTTATATTTTACAAAATACAATAGCTATACATATTTATTCATGTATTTTTTATATATACATAAAATAATATAAATGACATCAGAATCAAAAATTTGTATTTCTCCTGTATTATGTCTAAAGAAACTAAATGGTGTTCTTATCGAATTTAAAGTTAATCCAGGTAAAAATAGAATAGGTAGAGCATCCTCAAACGATATTTATTTAAAAGATGAACCAACCGTTTCAAACTATCACGCCCAATTAGGTAAGAAAAATAATTAATTACCTTTTTAAAATATAAAATTAAACAATTTATTAATAATATTGGTTATATTTAGAATTTAGTAATAGTAATAAGTTTCTAATTAGAGATTTATTTAGCTCAAATAAAACATCAATACAATTTAAAGAGAATGATGAATTAATAACATTAAAACCAAATATTGACTATGAAATTACAAAAAATTCAAAAATAGTTTTAGGTTCTGCGACAATGATATTAAATTATATCGAAATAGAAACTAAAGAAAATGTAAATAAAAATGCACCAACCCCAAAACCAATTAATAATACCAATACAACAAAATTAAACCCACCCACTATACTACCATCCAACACTTCTTCCACCGAGATTTTAACAAACGTGGCAGCAACAAACGAAACCCCATCACCCAAAATAAACACCGAAACTGAATCACCAATAACATTACCATCCAAACCAACAACAACAAAAACAACAGCATCAGCGACTAGTTTACCAACATCACCAAAATTAAATTCCAATTCAAAACCCAATAACAATGTTGAAAATAATAGTGTACCTATCGATAATAAAAGAAAAGAGCCAGAGTCCAATAGCAAAGCAAATGACGAAGAAAATATGGATATAGATAATCACAACGACCCAGAAAAAGAACTTAAAACAAAAAAATTAAAAGTTGTAGATGAAAATAAAGAAATGGATAAAGAAATAGAAAAAGCTCAGGAGGAAGAAGAAATACCATTATCACCTTCATTTAAACCAGAGGAAACAGTTAAAATAAAAGATAATGATGATAATAATAATATAAATAATAGCAATGATAAAGAATCATCAAAAGATAGCCAGCAAAGCAACAGCCAAGTTAGCAATCAAAGTGGTGAAAGTAAAAAGAAAAGTAGAAAACCAAAGAGTTTAGCAGATGATGAATTTGTATCACAAATTATTACATCAACACCATCAAAAAGAAAATCAGTAAAACCAGAAAGACTAGAGGAACAAATTGCAATGGGTGAATCTTCATCACAAACATCATCATCACCATCGACACCCTCCAAGTCATCCACAAAGAAATCACAAACTACAGAAACAAAAACCAGCACAACAACAGCCAAAAGAGATATCAATATTTTATTTTCAATGTTTTCAGATGAAGAGGCAAAAGAATTAGAAAATATAATATTAAAACTGGGTGGAAATGTAGCAAAGAATTCAGAAGAATGCACTCATTTAGTAGCAAATGAATTAAAGAGATCAAAAAAAATTTTAGAGTGTATTTCATATGGAAAACTGATTGTAACATCAAAATGGTTAAAAGACAGCAAGAAATCATCCAAATGGCTAGACGAGTCAGGATATCACTTGGTAGATAAAAAAGCAGAGGCCGAATGGAGTTTCAATTTAGAAAAATCTTTAGAATTAGCCAGAAGAAACCATAGTGACGATACTTTAATCTTTAAGAACTTATCATTTTATATCACAAAGAACTCAATACCACCCAGAGACTTTTTAAAAGAGCTTATTGAAATTAATGGTGGCTCTTTGGATGACAATCTTTCAAACTCTAGCAGTATCATCCTTGCAAACCCAGATAAAGATAAAAGATCCTTTAAGAAATGGAACGATAAAGGTTATAAAATATCAAAAGGTGATTTTATTTTACTTTCAATACTATCTCAAAAACTAATTTATATTAACTGTGAATAAATAGTTTAAATAAATAAAATAAATAAAATATATAAAAAATAAAATATTATTTATTTCATGATTAATTTTTTTTTTTTTTGTCAAAATAGATAAATAAAAAAAAATAATAATAATTTAAAAAAATACTATTTATTTCATTTAATATTATCTTGGTATAAACCTATTTTTTTATTTTTTTTTAAAATTTTGAGTTTTAATTTTTTTTTTTTTTTGGTATGGTTACAAATTGAATTAATTCTATGACTCATCAAAAAAAAATAATCAATTAATATTGAATATTACAATACTAGTCTAACAATACAATGATTAAAATAACTTGTTTTACTATAATAATTAATATATTATTTATATTATGCGTGTTGGGAAAAGATAAAAATTTTAATGGAAATCAAAAATGTGTATTTAACAATATGGAAAATGGAAAAATATATAATTTGAACAAATTATCATTAAAATATGGCTATTATGTCCCTGTTGGTTATAAAAATGTAATTCTACTAAAAATTGGTTCATATACTTCACATATTAACATATTCATTTATAATTTAGTTTATATTTAATTTGTGTGCTGATTGTATGGTGTGTGAAAGCATGTTGCACAATTCAAGTGGAGTTCAATCATGTTTTGATGTAAGAGACACTAGCATTACTGAAATTGGTGATACCATCACCCAACAAACCAAATTTATAAATGATCAAACACTATTAATTCGTTATTATAGTAATGTCACTAAATTTAGTTCACAATATTTCATTGGCTGTGAACCTGACCAACACTATAAAATTTATTCCAATGTTACCGAATCTCCAAAAAACAATTACAATATTTATATTGGAACAAGTTTAATGTGTGTCTAAAAATAAATATTGTCATTAATTATTAAAACTAAATCTTTTATATTTTTTTTAATTTCATAATTCCTTTTTTTAAAAATTATTTTTAATACTTAACTTTTCTATTCTATATAGGGGTTATAATTAGTCATAGTCGGGCTAGAAAAAAAAAAAAAAAAAATTTTCCCTGAAAAGTGCACCTATTATCACTTTTTTTAGAACTAGCGAAGCAAAAGGAAAAAAAAAATAAACTAAAAATAGAGAAAAAATTAAAAAAATTCACTTTATTCAATAACTGCTATTTTATATAAAATAAATTTGAAAAATCCGCTTAACAATTACATTAATAATATATTTTACAATAAATAAAAAAAAACAACTGTAAAAATAATAGTAAAAATAAAATTCTACCTTTTTCTTTTGATTTGGATCTGTTGAGGTTTTATTTTAAAAATAAATATAATTATGAAACATATGTTATATTATTCAATATATATATTCAATATATTCATTTTTGTTTTTGGAAAAAGAAAAAAAAAAAACAATAATTCGACCTTTTCTTTTGGTTTTGTTTTGGTTGAGGTTTTTAAAATTCATTGTTTAAGTTAATTTTTTTTTTTTTTAGTACACCCAACGTGAGTTTTGTGAGGCTATTTGGTAATGTGCCAGGTAGAACTACTTGGTTAAAATTATGACCGAATGTGAGTGTTGTGAGACTATTTGGTAATGTGCCGGGTAGAATTACTTGGTTAAATTTATAACCGAACGTGAGTGTTGTGAGTCTATTTGGTAATGTGCCGGGTAGAACTACTTGGTTAAAATCATGACCGAATGTGAGTGTTGTGAGACTATTTGGTAATGTGCCGGGTAGAATTACTTGGTTAAAATAATAACCGAATTTGAGTGTTGTGAGACTATTTGGTAATGTTTCAGGTGGAACTACTTGGTTAAAATCACGACCGAATGTGAGTGTTGTGAGACTATTTGATAATGTGCCGGGTAGAATTGCTCGATTAAAATCAACACCTAATGTGAGTGTTATGAGACTATTTGGTAATGTGCCGGGTGGAATTACTTGGTTAAACCAATCACCGAATGTGAGTGTTGTGAGACTATTTGGTAATGTGCCGGGTAGAACTACTTGGTTAAAATTATGACCGAATGTGAGTGTTGTGAGACCATTTGGTAATGTGCCGGGTAGAATTACTTGGTTAAAATAATAATCGAATGTGAGTGTTGTGAGACTATTTGGTAATGTGCCGGGTAGAATTACTTGGTTAAAACAATAACCGAATGTGAGTGTTGTGAGACTATTTGGTAATGTGCCGGGTAGAATTGCTCGATTAAAACCATCACCGAATGTGAGTGTTATGAGACTATTTGGTAATCTGCCGGGTCGAATTACTTGGTTAAAATAATTACTGAATGTGAGTGTTGTGAGACTATTTGGTAATGTGCCGCGTCGAATTACTTGGTTAAACCAATCACCGAATGTGAGTGTTGTGAGACTATTTGGTAATGTCCTAGGTAGAATTGCTCGATCAAAATAATAACCTAATGTGAGTTTTGTGAGACTATTTGGTAATGTGCCGGGTAGAATTACTTGGTTAAAATAATGACCGAATTTGAGTGTTGTGAGACTATTTGGTAATGTGCCGGGTCGAACTACATGCTTATAACGACTACCGAATTTGAGTGTTGTGAGACTATTTGGTAATGTTTCAGATGGAACTACTTGGTTAAAATCACGACCGAATGTGAGTGTTGTGAGACTATTTGGTAATGTGCCGGGTGGAATTACTTGGTTAAAATTATGACCGAATGTGAGTGTTGTGAGACTATTTGGTAATGTGCCGGGTAGAATTACTTGGTTAAACCAATCACCGAATTTGAGAGTTGTGAGACTATTTGGGAATGTGTTGGGTAGAACTACTTGGTTAAAAGCATGACCGAATGTGAGTGTTGTGAGATTATTTGGTAATGTGCCGGGTAGAACTACTTGGTCAAAATAATAATCGAATGTGAGTGTTGTGAGACTATTTGGTAATGTGCCGGGTGGAATTACTTGGTTAAAATAATAACCGAATGCGAGTGTAGTAATTGTGTTTGGAAAAGTTGTTAGAGTTAGCATTTTAGAAGAACCGTGCAAATATAAATTTGTCAAAAATGGTGGATATTCATCTTTATCTTGTAGTGGACCACGCCAGTTAAGTGTTGTTATATATGATTTATCTTTAAACTTGCTATAACCTGATATATCAAGATCTTCAACACTATGTTTAATAAACTTTAAAATATGTTTATGAATTTCATTTCTTAAAAATATATTATTCCAAACTCTATATAATAATCTATAATAAATAGTTAAAAAGAGAAAAAACTAATTAATATGCTTTTAATTAATCGACTATTATATTATATTTATTTTATGTATTGTATTATATTGTATTATACTTACCTATCACTAATATTATAGCTGTTTTTTAACTCTTCATTTACGCGAAAGTTAATTAGAGATGATAGTAGTTCATTCATTGTTAGTATAAAAATTAATGAATAAAATTAACATTTCTTTTTTATAAACTGAATTTTTTAAAAAAATGTAAAAATTTTTGATAAAATTTTTTTTTAACCCTTAAAGTTGAAGAAAATTTTTTTTTAACCCTTAAATTTAAAGAAAAAAAAATTTTTCTAATAGATTTTTTTTAATAAATTTTTAAAAAAAAAAGCAAAATGTTTTTTTGTGAAAATAAATAAAAAAAATGATTTTGAGTTAAAATAAATAAATATATTATTAAAATATATTTATTTTAAAGTTTATTTATAATTTTATAGTTAATTTATTATTTATTATTTATATTCTTTGAGCTTTGGATTATGGAACGCAATATTACAAAATTCATGGAGGAGCACTTTTCACTTTTTTTAGAACTAGCGAAGCAATAGGAAAAAAAAAAATAAACTAAAAATAGAGAAAAAATTAAAAAAATTCATATTTTAAAATTTAAAGTGAATTTTATTTGGAATTTAATCATTCCATTTTTGATATATTATAATAATCATAAAATACAGAGTTTTTAACAATATCTACCCTTGAAACATTTGCCCACTCCCTAAGCAAAACACATTGTCCAAAAAAAAATTTTGTTAAATTTATTTTTTTATTATTTTTAAATATTGCACTTTATTCAATAACTGCTATTTTATATAAAATAAATTTGAAAAATCCGCTTAACAATTACATTAATAATATATTTTACAATAAATAAAAAAAAACAACTGTAAAAAAATAATAATAAAAATATAATTCTACCTTTTTCTTTTGATTTGGATCTGTTGAGGTTTTATTTTAAAAATAAATATAATTATGATAACATATGTTATATTATTCAATATATTCATTTTTGTTTTTGAACTTGAATCATTGAAAATTCATAAAAATTGTTGTTTTTTATTGTGTCATATGAAATTTCCCACATTCTAATTAAAAACATTGGTATTACGACGAAATATACTGGACCAAGTGGGAAAAAATAACAAAATATTAAGAATGCTGTTAATGATTTTGATGAAAAAATATTAAATAATATTCTTTTATTTTTATACAATCCAAATGAGGAATAATATCTATTTATAATTCGACCTTTTCTTTTGGTTTTTAGGACTACAAAAACTAAAAAAAAAAAAAAAATGAACTAAAACAATGAATTTGATTTCAATAAGCGACTATTCGACCCCAAAACTAGACAAAGCCATTTTTTCTAAAGCTAAGCTAAATTATAATCCCTAATTTCTATATCCTTTTTTATTTAAAAATAATCAAACTATTAAACAAAATAATTGTATTAATTATAATAAATCCTATTAAATAATATAAATTTAAAAGATAAATTTCATTTTATATTTTATTTATATTTTATTATTTTATTAGTCATATTCGAAATTACCAACCCCTATATTCCCGTCACCAAATGTGGCTAGGCCACCAACAACTCCACCTTGATGGAAGCCTTCCAAGAAATTAAAATCACCAACTGGTATATACCTATTGACATAATTTGTAGATTTGGGGATTGCACCTGGTTGTATAATTTCTGGATTTATATTGCCTAAAACTAGTTCTCGAACCAATGGAGGTATGGATCCAATATTTAATCTTTGCTCATAGGACCTTAATGATAGATTTCTAAGTGAAAAAGGAAGTACATTTGGTTCTATTTGATGATCAAATGAGTTCATTTCTAGGTCTTGAACATTTTCGGGAATGGCTCCTCTGCGAATTGGGTGATCATATGAGTTTAACTTTAATACTTTAATTGATTCTGGTAAAACATCACTACAAAGCTCTGCTGAATATCCTTCAATTTCTAACTCTACCAAAGTAGTTGGAAGTATTTTAGGTTCCAATTTGATATTATAGGACATTTTAAGTTTCTTTAAACCATCTGGTAATGATCCAACCTCTAATCTACCTTTGACTTTCTTTATTGATAATGAAAGTGTTGATGAAGGAATATCATCTGGTTTTATTTCATATGGATAGTCTTTAAGGATAAAAACCTCCAATACCCCATCTGGTATATCCCCTTTTACTAACTGTTCATTTGAATTATACTCTAACACTGTAACATATTCTTTAAATGGTAAATTTCTTAACTCTTCACTCGAGTTTACAAATGCTCTATAGTGATCTTTGTATATATTCATTTGATGAATTATTTCTTTTCTAATATAAATATTATTCCATACATTATTAAACAAATCATTAGAAGTTTTATTAATGTTATTATTATTATTATTATTATTATTAATATTTAATTTTTCTTCTAATATTTTATATTTGTTTGATAATATTTCATAATTATTTATTATATCATTAATTTTATTTTCTAGTGTTTCTATTGTTTTTTTATTACTCTGGTTTTCTTTTTCGATTATTTCATACATTTCTTTAAAGTTGTTGTCGTTATTACCCATTTTTTGAATATAAAATAAATATGCAAAAAAAAAATTTAATTTATGAATTGAAAAAAATAAATAAAAAAAAAATAATTTAAAAAAAAATAAAAAAAAATATTTTATTTCCAACAAACTAAAAAATAATTATTTTAAAAAGAAAGAGAAGTAAAACCAACATTTAATTCTATAATTATTAATTTTATTACTAAATGATTTTATTTTTTTATATGTTTAATTCTGAGCCTATTGAAGTTTAATTGATAAATTACATTTATAAACACTGGGAATATATTTATTTATTACCTTTTTTGTGGGTTAAAATGTTTATAATTGTATTATTTGAAATTTTTTGATAAAAAACTGTTTTGATTTTACCTATATCTAAACCTATATCATTTATAATATTAATCTCATTGATATTAAACTTTAATGATGATGATTTAATAAAATCTAAATAAAAATTTGGGTTAAAATTTGATTTTTTTATAATGATTGTTATAGAGTGTAAATCAATCTTTTTATCACATAATAACTTCAAGCCATGGGTGCATAGTCTATCTTGAACTTCTCTTGTTGTTACTGTTAAATTTCTAATTGTTCTATTGACATTAGTTGAAAGAATTGTTTCAATGATAGTTTCAAAGTATGCACTTGAAATATGGACATCAACAATTGATTTGTTAACTTTAAGGGCTTCAAACAATTGTATATTGGTTGATAATTTCCCCCCATAACACTTAAATACTTTGAGATTTGATTTAGGGTTTGAAAGAATAGATTTATAGCCGTCGACTATTAAATCATTATTAATTTTAAATCTACAATTGCATCCACGGTCACATTGATGGGCAATACTAAAACTAGTAAAGTTGGGATCATTTGAAAGTCTATCTACATAGTATTGCCATGATTTAACTATATTTGAGGTACCATCTTGAACCTCATCTTCAGCCTCCATTCCATCATTTTCATCTTGATCGTCATCTTGAAATTCTTCTTCAAACTCCATTTCATCATTTTCATCTTGATATTTAAAATTGATATCAATAACCTTATCAACAGTGGTAAGATACGAAAATTTTTTGAGTTTTGAAAATGATTGGTCAGCATCCATGTACTGTGGAAATACCAGATCATCAATAGACAATTTCTTACTGCTTTGATTTTGTTTGAATTTCAACTCTAGACTATGGGACATGGTTTCATAAAACTCTATACTTTTTAAATCTAGCTCTAATATATCTAAAAGTGCATCCTTGTTTCCGGATAGAGTTATATTTTTGATTTTTTGGAATGAGACACCTTTTTTTTTTTCAGTGGTCTTATTTTTGCTTAGCTTGATTAAATCCAATGGAGACAGGATAATAGTTCCAAAATTGCAATTCTCTGGGTATTTTTCAATTGAATCAAGTAATCTAGTTGCTTGGTCAGCGAAAAGAGTTTCATTAATGTATATTTTTTTATAATCCTTGCTATTAAACTCTTCAGATGTTAAATCTTGAAATTGTGATAATCTACTGAAAACTTTAATTGAATCTTGAATTTTAATCAATTTAAACTTTTGAGTGACTTGTGATGGATTCTGAACACTTAAACCCTTGAAAACATTGCAGTTATAGCACTTGTTGAGCTTTGGTAATATATTTGAAACACATTGAAACCAAGTCTTTGAAACCAATGAATATTGTATAATTTCATTATTATTACTTATTAAATATTGATCTAAATAAAAAATCAAATCTTTTTTATAATAATAATAAAGAATGGTTTCTAAAATATATTCGCAAATATAATTAGGTAAAATTAGCATTTTTATATATAAATATACAAATAATTTAAATGTATATAAAAAAAATATATTGTATATTAAAAAATTAAAATAAAAAAAAAAAATAAAAATAGGAAGTAAACACCAAAAAAATTTTTTTTTTAATATTTACTTTTTTTTAAATCACCCCAATTGTGATTGAAATATTATTTTTTTATTTTTTATTTATAGGTGGAGGAAAAAATTATTGGTTACAATAAGCTGCTTAATCATTTAATTCATTTTTTTTTTTGGGGTTTATAGTGTGTGAGTTAAATTTGTGGAAAATTTGTGTTTTAAAAAAAATATTATTTATGGGAATAAAAGTAATATATAATAAATAGAAATAATAAATTTAAAAAAATAATAAAACAATTATGCACAGCTATAAATAATCAAAAAAACAAAAATAAAATTGATTTTTTTTTTTTTTTTCGTTTTAATTAATTTTATTTTATTTATTTTTTTTTTTTTTTTTTTTTTAAAAAAAAAACTTTTTTTCATTTTTTTTTTCATTTTAAATACTTTTTAATTACCTCATACATATTTTTAAGATGGGTGTTGAAGGTTTACAAGTTTTTATTAAAAAGCGTTACAACTTATATAAACCTTTACCCAATAATTTTCATACCGATCATATTTACATTGATGTTAATAATTATTTACACAAAACAATAACTAAAAAACCAAATATTCAAAATGTAGAAATAAACGCTTTAAAAAGATTAAAACATTTTTTAAACGAAATTATTTATTCAACAAAAATTAGACATACAATATTCTTTTCAGTAGATGGGCCAGGTCCCCGTTCTAAAATGACTACTCAAAGAGAAAGAAGATTAAAAGTAAGTATTCTTATTTTTATATCTATCTATATATTAAATAAATTTTATACTAAAATTTTCATTTTTTTTATTTAAAAGAATTTAAATTTACACAAATTGTTATATTATATTAATAAAAATAGAGATGAGGAAACAGGAGAAAATGATATCAATTTATTAAAACATGACTATGACTATTTAGAAGGTTTGGAACTGAATGTGGGATTCTCAACTTTAAATTTTACACCAGGTACCAGTTTTATGGGTCTTTTAAAATCATTTTTTATATACTATACAAAAAACAAGTTATCATTTGCAAAGAATGTTTTCATTTCAGCCGCTGATAGAATGGGTGAAGGTGAATGGAAAATATTTCAACATATCAATAACTCCAATTATAATTTAAATGACATTATTACAATTGCATCAAAGTAAGTAAAATTAAGATAATACAAAATAATTCCTTTTTAATATCATATTAATTTTTTATATTTTATTATTTACAGTGATTCAGATATGATATTATTTTGTTTATTATCAAAGTACAATAATATTCAAATTTTAAATAAAGAATCAAATCAAGTACTTTATGTTAATCAGTTAAGAGAAGCTATTTATAAAGAAAGCGGTATCAACGATAGACAAGCAATCATAGATTTTGTATTATTATCTTTTTTGATGGGCACTGATCACTTACCAAAAGTATCATCATTCAAAATGCAAAATGGGTGGAATGAATATTGCAAATTAAAGAAACCACTTTATAATCAAGAAACCAAGTTATTTAATTATGAAAATTTATCTCAAGTTATTTTAAAAGGTTGCGGAATGAGACCAGTAGAGTTAATCGATCTTACAAGCAATATAGCACCGGTTCGAGAAACAACAGCAACAACAACAACAGCAGCTAAATCAAAAGCATTAGAGTTGGATAGTTTGAAAAAAGAAAGTGATATCAAAATTCAAAAAACCTCAATTAATATTGGTCTTAGAGAAAAATTTGGTATCATGATGTTGTATTATTGTTTATCAAAAGGTTTACCACAGAACAATAGCTATAAAGTTGAAGTAGATACAAATGGATGTTTTATATATTTACAGGGAAAGGTGTTAGATTCTGATCACTCGATCAATGCCTTAGCTTCTAGATTCTTTTCTTTAGAATATCCATTTTGGAAAGAGAATATTTCAATCATTAAAGAGAAATATATTTATAAAATATACAACATTATAAGAAATACCCAACACAAGCTTAAACAGGTTTCAGATAATTCAAACCATTTAACAACAATAAAGAATAAAAAACAAAAATACAACTATAAATTCAAAGAAATTTTAAAGACTATCGAAAAAGAAGAAAGAGAAAAGCTAATGAAGGAACAAGATCAATACGAGGAAGGTGAAGAGATTCTTTATGAAGGCAAAGAATATTTTATGAATTTAAATAATGAATCAGATGATGAAGCAGTTAGTGATTTTGAATCTGATGAAGGATCTGATGAAGATAGCGAAAATGAAGATGAAAAAGATGAAGAAGAAAATGATATCGATGCTTCAGATGGCGGAAATGAAGAAAATAATACAAGAAATATTAAATCAATTGATAGTTTAAGTAATAAAGAAAAGCTCAAAAAATTAAATTATGTACTTTATGGTTTAAAATGGCACTTAGACTATTTCCAAGGTATATGCGATGATTTCAACTTTTACCTCCCTTTAAATAATCAAATTAATCCAAGACTGTTCAAATATGCAACAAACCAAGATTTTAGTTTTGTAGTCAAAAGTGATAAACCACCATTTCCGTTATTCTTTGGTTTCCTTTTGATCGATTATTCAAACAAACATTTGTTCCCAGAAGCTTATCATCCAATTTACAAGTTAGCCCCCCATTTCAATGTCATGGATCTTAGAGTTTTAAAGAGAGAGTTTTCAAAGTCAGATTCATTAATTCAATTAGAAAAAATATTTAATAGACATACAGATGATAAAAATTTAACAAGTTTCCAAAAATCACAATTAAAATTTCAATCAACTTTATTCTTTAATATTTTTCCAAATAGATCTTTAGAGTTTTATGAAGAAATTATTGATCCTAATCAACCTCAACAGTCGCATCAATATAATTTAATTAATAACTTTAATAGCAATTTCTTTGATCAAAAATTACAAATTCAATCAATTTGTCAATTAAATGAATTATATTTAAACATTTTTATAAAACAAGAGCAACAACAAAGCAACATGTTTAATAATAGATTCAATAATAGTAATAAAAATAATAATAATTATAATAACAATTATAATAATAATTATAATAATAATAATAATAATAATAAAAATAATAATAATAATAATAATAATAATAATAATAATAATAATAATAATAATAATAATAATAATAATAATAAAAATAATAATAATAATTATAACTACAATGATAGTAGTAATAATAATTATAATAATAATAATAATGATAATAATTATAATAATAATAATAATAATTATAATAATAATAATAATTATAACTACAATGATAGTAGCAATAAGAGATTCAATAACAGTAATCACAATAATTTTAAAAATAATAACAAATTTAATAATGTTCGAAATAACAATAGTATTAATTATTATGATAGCAATATTAATGAAGATTTAGGTGAGTCCAACTATCCAACTAATAAAAAATCATTTGGAAAAGATGATAATGATACCAGCAAAAACGACTCTTCAAATGGAGAACCAAAACTTTCGAAAAGACAGGCTAATAGAGAAAGATTCAATAAAATGAAACAACAACAAACCCAAACACAACAAATACAACCACAACAACAAAAACCACAAAAGCCACAAAAACCACAATCACAGCAACAAATAACTAATACAAATTGCAATGAACAACCAAATCAATCAGATTCATTAAAGAAAGGAAAAAAATCTAGCACCGTTTTATCAGAAACCCAAACAAATGATTCAGAACAAATTATAATTAAGGATAAAAAAGAACAAAAATTTGATAATCAACAACAAATAGATATATCAGAAAAGAAAAGAAAAAGTCACCAATCGCAAGATAGAGAATTTAGTGCCAAAAATGACAAGAATCAAAATGAATTACAAAAAAAACTAAAAACAAATTTAGTAATAAGTGATGATGAAAAAATTAAAAAGAAAAGAAAAGAATTTTAAATAAACATTTATATTATAATTAAAAGTGTTTTTATTTTTTTATTTTTTTTTTACTTTTTTTTTATTTTTTTTTATTATTTTTAAGAAAAATATTTATTTACATTTACTAATTAGTAAAATAATATAAAGTTTATTAATATTAATACAATAAATAATATATAACTATTATTATAGATTGAGTTAGCATTATTTGTAGTATCGATGGTTTCTATATCTGCGCATAATACAACTCCAGAGGTTTTGGTATAGTTATAATTACAGTTTACATTTGAACAATCATGTAAACAATAGTCATAATCAATTGATTGGAGATTTGCTCTACAGCTGATTCTTTCAAATTGAGCTACACCCTTTTCATTCTTCCCGGTTGAAATACAGGTAAAATTATTGTATGTTCTAACTTTTGCATAGTCACAGTTGTTATCCAATAATTCAATATCATTGCAATAATTCATTTCTTTATATGGATGTTCTTCTGATTCTTCTTGGAGTGAAACAAAAACACTTGTACCATCTGGCAATACATTGCATTGATTGAGTTTGTAGTATTTTGGTGGTTCATATGGTTCATTTGTTGTTGATCCATTGTCGCTTGATGTATTATTTGAATTATGAGTTTCGGTAGAATTGGAGTCAATTGTACTATTACTATCGAGGCTATTTGAGCTTAAATCGCTTGAGGTGCTGTTGTGACTGTTTGAGCTATTTGTAGAGTTATTTTCAGATGGGGTTGGTGATGGAGAGGTTACTGGTTTTGGTGAGCCATCATTGGTTTCGACACATTCCTCGCTACTTTTAATTGGAATAACCATTACAATAGTTTCATTTACTTTTTTAATGTAGCCATGATTAGAACATTGTGTAGTTTTAATATTGAAAACAAATGCTCCTTCACACATATTGTTATTATATTGAATTTCTTGATAATTAAAACATTCTACATAGTTTGAAATAAACAATACTATAAAAAAGAAATAAAACAATCCTTTTACTCTATTCATTTTTATTTTATTATTACTATTTTATTATTTATTGTACAAATGTGAAAAATTATTTTTTATTATATTAAAGTTACAAATAAAAAAATTATAAAAAAAAAAAAAAAAAATTATGAGGTTATTTTTAAATAAAAACAAATAAATAAAATAAAAATAAAAAATAATTATTTATTCATTCAAATAAAAATAAATTTTTTTTTTTTTAAATTTATACATTTTTAATCATTTATTTACCATTATTTTGATTTAATAGCATAATTATATTAACAATCTATATTTTATTTATCTTTTTATTATAATTTTAAGTTTATATGTTGGGGGTGATATTTTTTTTTTTTTAACCCCCTATAAACACACATTCTATGTGGTCAAGTTTTTTTATAATAATGATTTTTTATAATAATTATATATTTCTTATAATATTTAAAACAAGATATAAGAAATTAAATATTATTTTTGGAAGTTAAAAAGTTTTTTTTAAAATAATAATTATTAAAGTTTTTTTTTATAATAAAAATAATTATTATTAAAATAGATTGAATTAATTATATATCAATGTGTAATTACATTTATTATAATTTTTTATTATTTTTAAAAAAAACAGATAATCAATCATTAAAAGTAGGAAACCAATACAATCAGACCCCATAGGACATAAATGGAATGTAATTAATTTGTGCAATCCAAAAAAAAAAAAAAAAAAATAATTATTTAAAAAAAAAAAATTAATTAACAAATAATTAAATTACATTTATGATTTAAATGTGTTTTATTTGAGATTTATAATCTTTCCAAGTATGTCTGCAATATGTTGATTCTTTAGTGATTGAAATTAGTTACTGGAAAATACACGATGATGATGGACATTTATTAAAAACAAAAAAGTATTTACAAAGATTTATACTAATTTTGTTGTTTATTACTTTACTCTTATTAATACTATTTCAATATATATATTAATATAATGAAATTATACTTTTATTTCTCCAAAATTTTTAAGATAATTTAATTAATGTTGCTTCTCGTTTTCTTCTTAAATAAGTGGTTACTACTGTAGTTGCTTATGCCTGCCATGAGTTTTGAAAAAATAGCGCTGTTATTTAAAGACCTTCTTTTCTTGAAAGTTGGTCGGCTTTCACGTTGAAAAACCCTGGAATATGTTCGCCAATGAGTTCTATTCTTTTCTTGTGCGAGAGATGCCAAAGTTCTTCTACCAGATGGGAAAGTTCTGGTATTGAGCCCCTTGTTTTCAAATATACGAGCGAGCTGTCGTGGTGTCTGTAAGAGCTTTTTGAATGAATAAGGTTAATTTTACTTTATGGGCTAATTTATCATCATCTGCATCTAAATATTTTGATAATATGTGGATCTTCAATACGTAAGGACTGTACCAAAAAATCCAACCCGATTACCATATCGTGCTCCATGTTGATTGCATAAAACTTCAAATCGGTTGGCATTTCCATCCAATGTTTTAAATTGAACCGTAGCCTCCACACTCTTTTTAGAAACGCCTTCTCTATAAACATCACCAATTGGATACTTGACTCTGATATCTTTCACTATACTCTTTAACCAATCACAATACTTGTTGTTCAATAAGCTAACACTACAACCAGTATCTATCAATGCACAATACTTGTTATAGGCTTCTGCATACCTATCGGTACCAATATATTATTTGGCGATATCTGGACAGCTGTTTTTGACATGTTCTTCTTTTCTGCAATGGAAGGTATGATTTATTTGTTTTCAGGAGAAATACCAAAATAAAAATAATAAAATTGGTTGATTAGAAAGTGCCTAATATTTATTGTTTTTTCATTCTAAAATTTTTAAAAATAGAAAACCATATGTTAAATATGATTTATTTGTAGGTATTTTATTTAAAAATGATTATTCATTATATATAAATATATATATTATAAAATACAATTTATTATATAAATTTATAATTTAAAAAAAAAATTAAAAAATAAAAAAATTAAAAAAAAAAATTAAAAAATAAAAAAAAAAAAAAAAAATTAAAAAATAAAAAAATTAAAAAAAAAAAATTTAAAAAAATTAAAAAAAAAAATAAAAAAAATTATAAAAAAACTTTGGTTTGTCCAAAAAATTAATTTTTTTTTTCTCGTAATAAAACTTAAATAAGGTGAACTGCACTTGGTTATCAGCTTATTTTCATTTTTATTCAAAAAAAATACAAACAGTTTCAGTGAATGCTTCAATGTGAGTAGGTGCCATGTATTTATGGTTATACAAATAGATGATCATATTTTATGGGACTGAATGATATTGCTTTAAAGAACTGTCAAAATAATAGTTTTGAAAATTTAACAAAAAAAATGGAATTGATCAAAATACTCTCTGAACCCCCTCTTAACTTTTTGTGAGTGTTAAAAAAAACTTTAATTCATAAGCTTATAGGGAATTCCCAAGTGGATTTTAATGAAACTATTAATTTATCAACCAATCCCAAAAAAAAAAAAATTTTTTAATGAAATAAATTAAAAAAAGAGGTTGTTTAACAAAATATTGAAAATTTTATTAAACACAAAATATCGATTTTAAAAAAAAAATTATAAAAAAATTAAAAAAAAATTAATTAAAGTTTATCTTTTATATTCATTAACAAATTAAATTTATAAATATATACTTAAATATATATTTTATAAAATACAATTTATTACATTAATTTATAATTTATAAATTATTATTGTTAAAGATTTTAAAAATCCAATGGGTAAAGATACAGTATTTTCAAGATTGTTTTGACCGGGTATGATCAAAATTTTTAATTCTTGTGTAAATCCTGTATTTTTAATTTTTATTTTATCAATTAAAGGCAAATATATATAAAAAATAACCTATTTTTTAAAAATACTGTCCTTTTATTTTTTATTTTTTTTTTTATTTTTTTTTTTATTTTTTTTTTATTTTCCTTATTAAAAAAAATAAGTCAAATCTTTACTGAAAGATAATTAATTTTTATCTTTTTTTTTATTACTTTTCATATTTTTTTTATTTTTATTATAATAATATTATCTTTTAATAAAACTATAATAAATTAAACAATATGACCTAATCAATTTGAAAAAATTTAAAATAATTTAAAATTTTATGAAGATGGATGTAACAATTAAAAAAAAGAAGAAATAATTGGATTCAGGTGATCAACAATTAAAGGTATTTTGATAAATTATGCATTTAATGATCCGATTCAACTCAAAAAATATCCAGATAGTAAAATAATTATGAAAGATTAAATTGAAATGGTTATAAAAAATTTATTATCAAATGAGATATATCATAATATTCTACAAATTAAACGATATCTTCGGAAGAATTATAATACATAAATTTTAAATAACACAATAATAAGTTCACTCCATTGCAAAGTTATTACATTTGGAAGTTTGAAATATAAGCCTTATCTCACAAAAAAAGCAAAGAGGTATAGATATCAATGGGCCATACAAATTGGTGACTCACAGTGGAATTTTGGAAAAGGGTAGTTTTTGCAGATGAAACTTGATTTGAACTATATTTTTATTAATTGGATATTAAAATAGATTTAAAGTTAAAGATAACATTCAAATAATATTCTATCAAGAAAGAGACCAACAGGAGTTTCTGTGAATACATGTTAATTTTCTTCTATGAGAGGTGCAGGTTCAATACAATTTTTTTTATATTAATAAAAATAGATGACATATTTTATGGTACTGATCGATAAGTGTGGTCCCAAGCTTGGCGAATATTGCTTTAATTTTTAAGATATTAATGATTTACAAGATAACTTTCCAATTAATAGTTTAGAAATTTTTCTAAATTTTTACAAAATAAATAAAATTGATGTCATATTGATCCCAAAATACTCTATAGACCTCATAATTATTGAAATTTTATTGTGAGTGTTAAAATACGTTTGATTCATAAGATTATAGGGTATTCTCAAGTGGATTTTAAAGATTTATTTGAGAAAAATATGTCCATTTTTTAACAAGAAAATATTATTAATTTATATTAACCAATCCCAAAAAAAATTAAAGAAATAATTAAAAATAGAGGTGTTTTAACAAAATATTGAAAATTTTCAATTAAAATATCAAAAATAAAAAATTATTTTTTAAAACACTTAAAAATTAATTATCTTTCAAAAAAGATTTGACCTATCATAAAAAAAAAAAAATTATAAAAAAAATAAAAAAAAAATAAATTAAATGTTTTTATTTATTAAATATTATAAACGTTTATCTTTTTTATATTTATGAACCAACTTTATAATATAAAAAAAAAATATATAAAAGAACATATAAAAATTTTTTTTTTTCGTGACCCGGTCAAAACAATGTTGAAAATACTGTAAGAAATATGAATAATTTTAAAATGATCATTTACTAATAAAAGTGGTTCATTATTACTATGGATATTAAAATATATAAACTATTTTATTGTTTTCTTTGGGACGATAAAATTTGATATTTTATTTCAAGACAAAAACAAAAATTAATAATTAAACTGAATAATGGCAGATTTAATGAATAACTTTTATTATTTTATAATTTTTTTAAAAGAGATACTATTACAGTATTTTCATAATTGTTTTGACTCTATTTTATAATATATCCTTATAAAATTGGTTTAATTCATAAACAATTTTTTAATTTCGAATTCTCTTTTTTTTAAAAAAATAATGAATTTTTTTTTTTTTCAATTAATATTATGAAATTTTTTTTTTTTTAAAAAAATTTTACCGAATTTTTCTATTCTGTCTTACTAATTAGCTTTTTAAATTATTATTTTTATAAATAATAATCTTTAAAAATATGGTTTCATTATATATATAAAAAAGTAAAACGATTATCTTTTTTAATGATAAATTTAAAAAACCAAATATAAAAAAATAATAATTTTTATTAATATTTATATTATAATATAAATACAATTTATAATAAATTTATAATTAATAATATATATAATAATCCAAATATAATTTATTATTTTTTAGTAATATTTATATATAAATTTAAAAAGTGAAAAAAAGTAAAAAACATTATCTTTTAAAATGATAAATCAAATCTTTATTATTTTGACTATTTATTAATATCAGTATAGATTCATGACTAAAAAAAAATAATTAATAGATAAATAAAATGGGGGTTATATTTAAGAAAGCATTTAAAAAATGGGGGGGATTTTTTTTAAGATTAACAGTTGCACGTGATCATATTAAAATAAAATGTTTTTATAAAGTTTTTAAAACTAGTTAAAAAAAGAATAAAATTAAAATTTTTTTCTGAATTTTTTAAAAATTACATTTTACAAAAACTTTAAAAATGAATGGTATAGAAAGTTATAATGAAAAAGTAGCCATTGTGGGTGTAGGTTTTAGATTACCATCAGGATACACAGAGAATGGTGATATTGGCCCTGGATTGAAAGATTGTGGGGTTTTGTGGGATTCATTAATGAAAGGATTTGATGGGATTGTTCATACTAACGAAAGATGGAGCTGCAATTATCATGAACTAGGAAATATTGCAAGTCATAAAGCAGGTTTATTACCACTAAAAGAGTGGGGTATGTTTGATCCTTTACTTTTTGGAATAAATCCAAATGATAGTTCGGTTATTGATCCTCAACAAAGATTATTGTTAAAGGTAACTATGGAGGCATTAGAAGACGCACAAATTGATCCATTATCATTACGTGGATCTGATACCTGTGTTCATATTGGAAGCTCTGCAACAGATTACCAAAACACAAATAAAGAAGAGATTAAAAAAAATATTTTTGGATTCACTCCCAATTCAATTGCTAATAGAATCTCCTTCTCTTTTGATTTACATGGTGAGTCAATAACTTTGGATACTGCTTGTTCTTCATCATTAAACGCTTTATATCAAGGTTATAATGCAATTAAATTAGGAAATTCTAAAATCTCAATTTCGGGAGGTGTTAACATGATTAATTGTAATTATTATTATAAAAAATATAAAAATTAATAAAATTCTAACCAATTTTTTTTTTTTAGATCCTTTAATTTCGGAATCCTTCACAAATTTAAATATGTTGGTAAAGATTTTTTAATTATAAATAATAATTTAATATTTAATTTTAATATTTAAAATTATTAATAGAGTAAAGTAGGAAGCTGTAGAGCATTGATAAAGATGCAGATGGTTATGTTAGATCGGAAGGTGTTGGAATTATAATAATGAAATCTTTAAAAAATGCAATAAAAAATGGTGATAATATATATTGTGTAATAGATGGTATAAGTTCAATGGAGTTTTAGATAAGGCTAATTTCACCAACCATCATCAATCTCTCAGGCACATAATATTTCAAAAGCGATAGAATCAACAAAAGGGGCTATCAAAGAAACTGATATTACTTTTGTTGAATGGGAACAGGTACACCAAAAGGAGATCCAATAGAAGTAAAAGGTGTTTCAATGGCATTAAATACAAAAGAAAGTTCAAATAGAATTCTTATTGGTTCCATAAAATCAAACATTGGTCATTTGGAAGGTAAGTATTTATATATTTAAAAATATAAATTTTATATTAATTTTTTTTTTTTCAAAAAAAGCTTGTTCAGGGGTAGCATCTTTGATTAAATGTTGTTTGATGTTAAAAAATAAATATTATGTTCCAAATTATAAAAGATCAATTGTAATTTCCAAAGATTGGGATGATTTTGAAAATAAATTAAAATTAAATAATAAAATCAAAACTTCAAATTTAAAAACTTCAAAATGTCAAACATTAAAAAAAATCCAATAACAGTTTTCATATTTTGTGGTCATGGTGCTCAATGGAATGGTCAAGGTTTACAATTATATAATAATGAACCAACATATAAAAATTTAATGGATATGTTAGATAAAAAATTTTATGAATATTTTGGTTATTCAATTTTGAAAAAATTAAGATCTATCCCCGATAATGATCTTATAAGTATTCAAGACCCAATATTAGCTCAACCTGCTACATGTATGTTACAAGTTTCTTTATTTGAATTGTATAAAGAATGGGGTATTTCACCATCATTTATTATTGGTCATTCATTAGGTGAGATATCGGCTGCCTATTGTTCAGGTATGATTGATATAGATACTTTTTGTTATTTGGTTTACAATCGTTCTGTTGCTCAAAGTAAAACAAATGGAAGTGGTAAAATGTTATCAACTTTAATCAGTGAAGAAGATTATAAAGATAATTATTTATCAAAATTCCCTAATATTGAAGTAGCTTGTTATAACTCTCCATCATCAGTGGTTTTAGCAGGTAATGAAGAAAATTTAAAGGAAATATCAAAAGATCTTAAAAAAAGAAATATTCATTCAGCATTCTTGGGTTCTCTTTCATCTTTTCACACAAGTAGTCAATTAAAAATAAAAGATCAAATTTTATCATTAAGTTTTAAATCAAAAGAGCCATTAATACCAATATTTTCAACTGTAACCACCCAATTATTTACCAAAGAAACACCTTACACTCCTCAATACCTATTTGATAATATTCATAAACCAGTTAAATATTCCCAAACTATTATTAATTTATATAAACATATTGAAAATAATGATTTAGGTAATGAAATTGCTTTTGTTGAATTGGCACCCCATTCAACATTGGCATTTTATTTAAAACAAATGATGCCTTCTACATGTGATCAAATAAATTCCAATTATTTCAATACAAATTTAATTTCTATTCATTCTCCATTAAACAAAAAAAAACCAAATGATAATTTAGGATTTATGGAAACCATTTCAAAATTATATTGTGATAGTAATTACATTATTAATTTTAAATATCAATTTAAAAACAAGAGTTTAAAACCATTAAGTGGTTTTAAAAATCAACTTTTACCAAAATACCAGTTTGAGGTAAAATCTCCTTTAAAATCATATACCACATTAATCGATATAAAGAAACAACCATTCCAATTTTTAAAAGGTCACCAAGTAAAAGATAAATATTATTTACCAGGAACATCTTATATCTCAAATATATTAAATATCTTTAAAAATCAAAATCTTACTATTAACTATATTAATTTTAAAACTCCATTAGTTTTAAAAGAAAATTCAACATTCCATTTACAAACAAATATATATCCCACCTCAAAAAATGAATATAGGGGTCAATTTGATTTCTTAAAAAAATGGGGAATGGTTAAATACATCAAATGCTAACATTCAAATAACAAATAGTAATAACTCTAAGGTTTTAGAAACTAAATTGGATATCCATGATATAATTAAAAATCATTGTAATTTAGCAAAACTAAACAAAACAGAATTATATAGTAATATAAAATTAAAAACTGGATTAAATTATAGCGGAGCATTCCAAGGCGTATCAGAATTCTATATAGGTGAAAAATGTTCAATGGCTGTTATTCCATTAGGGTTATCACAAAGCATTGACTCGAAATCATTTTTCAATACTGCTTTATTAGATACTTGTTTACATGGATTTATTGGTCTAATCGAAGAAACATCTAATATAGTATTTGATAGTGTCGAGAATATGATTTATTATGCTTCTAATATTCCGTCTGCTGAAAGAAAATCTCAACATGAAAACCTATATGTTTATACACTTATTAAATCAAGAAAGGGAAATAATTTTTATGGTTCAATCAAAGTTTTATTAAGCGATGGAACCATTTTGTGGGATATGAAAAATGCATGTTGTGCATCATTATCTCTTGTGAAAGATGTTTTAACATTAGAATACCCTTCAGATTTAGTTTTTTCAAGATATTTACAATCTAAAGATTCTCCTTTTGAAACACCAAATAGTTTTAATAATTTATACGAAGAGTTTGAAATCAAAGATATCATTGATTTAGAGTATCCTAATTGTTCTTTGACAAAAAAGGTTTTAGATAGCATTTACCAATTGATAAATGAATCTGATTCTTATGAAATTGATATCGAATTAACATGGACTGATATATCCCCATCTATAATTGAAGAAGCAAAAGAAAAACTATCAAATTTTAAAGATAAAAGAGTTGAAATAATTTTTAATCATTTAGATTTAAATGAAGAATTAATAGGAAAACAAAGTATAAAACCAAGTTATTATGATATGGTAATTATGTCAAATGTTTTAAATATTGTTTCAGATGTTAAATTCTCTCTAAATGAGATCTATAAAGTGTTGGCACCAAAAGGATATTTGTTATTTATTGAACTACCATATAAATCAATCATTTTCGATTGTATATTTGGTGTATTTGACCCATGGTGGCAAAACTTTAAAGACCATAATATTAGAAAAGATAGAGCTTGTTTGGATCAAAAAACGTGGAACAAAGTATTGGGTGAATGTAAATTTGAAAATACTAAAATGTCAAATGATTTTAATAATTCAACAACATTTTTAATTCACACACAAAAACCATCATTATTTAACCAAGAATTCAATGAAAAAGAAACATATGACCAAGTTATAGTTTTTTCAAATGAAATTATTTCAAAACAAACCTAACAGTTTATTGATAATATTAAAAATAATTATGAAAAAATTATTCAAGTTTCAAATTTCAATGATTTTAATCAAATTAAATTAACTAATGAATCTTTAATTTTCTTTATTAAAACAATTGACCTTATTAATGTGGATACTTTCAAAGAAGTTACTTTAGAATATATTAATATAAATCAAAAACTATAAAAAGAAAAATGCAGTGGTAAACATGTTTTAATTTCAGTTGATGCAACAACAACCAATTATTTAGCCTCTTCAGTTGTTGGTGCTAATACTTATTATTATGAATTTCCTCTATTGAACACATTTTCAATTGATTTTGATAAGGTCTCAATTAATAATATGAATTTACATAAAATAATTACACCTTTAATAAACCCAAAAATTAACAACCAAAGAGAATATATGGTAAGAAATAATATTGTATATTATGAAAGATTTAAAAAAGAATCTCTATCCAGTTTAAAAAAAGATTTTAAATCAAATTCATACAATAATATAAATAATGATGAAGTATTTTTACATTTAGATTTTAATTTGGAATATATATTAAGATCAAAGAAAACCCAATTAAAACCAAATGAAATAGAAGTTAAAGTCGAATCTTTTGGCATTAATTATAAAGATTTCTTAGTTCATAATGGTTTATTACCAAGTGAAATGATGAATCAGTTCGGTAATTCAAATGACCCAGAATTAGGTTGTGAATTTTCAGGGGTTATAAAAAAAATTGGGGAAAATGTAACTAAATATAAAATAGGAGATAATGTATTTGGTGCTTATTTTAACTCTTCTGCATCACATATTATTGTTGATGAAAACTATATCTGTCACAAACCATCAAATATTACACATACCCAAGCAGCTTCATTACCAATAGTTTATGGGACCAGTTATCATAGTATTTATAATATAGGAAATTTACAACAAGATGAAACTATTTTAATTCATTCAGCTTCGGGAGGCATCGGTTTATCCTCTCTTAATATATTGAAATGGAAAGATCATAAAGGTTTAATTTTTGTAACAGTGGGTTCCACAGAAAAAGAAAAATATTTAAAAGAAAAATTTGGGTCTTTTATAAGTGGTATTTATTCCTCCAGGAACAAAGATTTTGTTAATAATATTAAAGAAAGAGTAAAAGAGTTAAGCTTTAATGAAAAAGAAGGTGTAGATCTTATTTTAAACACTTTGGACAGTAATGAATATATGGGTTCTAACTTTAAAGCTCTTGATATTGGTGGAAGAATTGTTGATTTATCAATCACCCATTTAAATCAAAATGATTTTATGTTAAATAATCATTTTAAATTCAATTTCGCATATTCAAATGTTGAATTTGTCTTTATTCGTAAACAAATAGTCAAAAAATTATTAAATATTATCGCAAAAGGAATTTCAAACAACAGTTTAGAAACAATACCAATTACTGAATTTTCAAGTGAAAATATTAAAGAAGCTATTGAATATATTAATAAACGTAAGCACATTGGTAAAATTGTAGTTAACAATGATATTAATATTTTAGAAAGAATGATTTCACAACAAAAAAATGAAAATTCTTTAGTATTAAAATCAGATTATCATATAAAACCTTCCAATGTTGGTAAAACTGTTTTAATAACAGGCCAAGCTGGAATAGTATTAGAATTATTTAAATGGTTTTTGAAGTATTCAATATCCATAGAAAATGTTATAATTTTATCAAGATCTTCTTTAAGATGGGAATTAGAGTATTTGATTAATAAATTTAAAAATATAAAATTCCATTATAAGATCACTGATGTTAGTGACCCTGTTTCAGTCGATAACTCTTTAGAACAAGTATTTTCAGAAAATCCAACTATTACCAATGTTGATACCATTTTACATTTTGTATATCAACATGCAACTTGCAGAGAAGATGAAATTGATATGAATAATCTTAATATATCTCATGGCGCTAAAACAATGGGTGCAATAAACCTCCATAATCAATCAATTAAACGTAATTGGAAATTAATTAATTTTATTTTAGCATCATCAGTAACTGCAGTAATTGGTTCTTATAATCAATGTAGCTATGTATGTGCAAACAAAGTACTTGATGGTTTAGCAAGCTACAGACGTTCTATTGGTTTACCATGTACAGCATCGAACTGGGGTGCTTTTGGTGGCGCTGGTGTTGTAGCTCGTAATGATACTATTTGGACTTTTGTAGAAGATCAAGGTTTAAATGCTATTCCAACAAGTCATGCTTTAGGTGCACTTGATTTACTGATTCAAAATCAACATTTATCAAATAATTTAATTATTTCAAACTTTAATTTTAAAACTTTCAAAGAATTAAATCAAATACATCATGATAAATTTGATTTTTTATTAAATCAAATAAACAACTCAAATGATTTAAAACTTTCCCAAGCAGACATTGGGGATGCATTTTTAGAAAAAATATCTGAATCTTTATCAATAGATAAACAAAAACTTGATTTAGAAACACAACTTGGTTCTTTTGGTATAGACTCTTTGGTTCTGGTTCAACTTAAAAACTGGGTGGATAAAGAAGTAACTCCAAATATTATCAATACTCAACAACTTTCAAACAATAAAATATCCGTTACTATAAATGTTATTAAAAAAGAATTTGAAAAAAAGAAAAATGATAAAAAGAAATAAATAAAAACTAAAAATAAATATAAATTAAAATAATAAAATTTTTTTTTTAAAATTATAAATTTATAATTTATATATTAAATTGTGATTTATAATATATATATTTATATATAATGAATTATCATTTTAATTTAACTTCTCCAAATAAAATGGAGAAATTAAATAAAAATGATAATTCATTATATATATAAATATTATATATTTATAAATTATAAATTAATGTAATAAATTGTATTTTATATTTATATAAGTCCCGCACGCGCCCTGTTAAAGTTTAACAACCAAAAAAATGCTTTTTAAACTTTGACTATAACCTAAACCATCAACTATAATACTAAAACCATGTTCGATAATTTAAGTAACGGCTTCATTAATCCTATGAAGCAATTCTTGGGAAACTCTTTCCAACCATATCTAATTTCTTCTTTCTTCGTTATATATACCATATGGTTTGACAGTAAGGTGCCCTAAAGGAAAATTTTAAATAAAAATGATTATTCATTATATATATAAAATTTATAACATAAATTTATAATTTATAAAAATAATAAATTTAAAAAAAAAAAATAATAAATTTAAAAAAAATAAAAATAAAAATAATAAATTTAAAAAAAAATAAAAATAAAAATAAAAATAAAAATAAAAATAAAAATAAAAATAAAAATAAAAATAAAAATAAAAAATGAAAAAAAGGGGGAATTTATAAAAAAAAATTTATGATATAAAATCGCAATAAATTTAAATATCCCAGTAATTAATAAAAAGAAATATAAATAAAGTAACTATATTACTAATAAATATTACTATATTAAATTATTTTTTTTTTAATCTTAAAATAGAATTTTAGATTATATAAAAAATATAATTTTAATAAAAAAAAAAAAAAGAAAAACACACACAGCTTAATATATAAAAATGTGGGGTGTGTGAAAGTGTGAGTTATGTGTGAACATTAATTTTTTTTATGCATATAATCTCACTTTCAATTAAAAAAACTTTCGATTTATTGAGTTGGTTTATATATAAAAAAAAAAAAAAAAAAAAAAAATTTGGTTTTTAAAAAACTCTAAAGTTTTTTTTAATTATATATTTTTAGTTTAAAGTAATATATTTTTATTTAAATAATAATAACTTCAAAATAAATACATTTATAAAACTATATAATAATAAACTTATCAATTACAAAAAAAAATTTTATTATTTTAAAAAAAATTTTAAAAAATAAAAATAAATTAAATTATTTAAATTTTTTAATTTTTATTTTTCAAATTAAATAAAAAACCATTTCAATAATACACACATAACATGATATACATGGTGTTTTTTTATCCAAATAATAATATTCAAAAATAATATAAACAAAACCTTTTCTTTTAATAAAATAACCCTATATTTTAAAATCTTTCTTTGTTTAAAAAATAATTTTTTATAAACCCAAAAAAAAAAAAAAAAAAAACATTGTGATTTTTAAATAAATACATAATTTTAGAATAAATATAAAAAAATAAATAAGGTTATTATAGTAAAAAACAACATAGCTCAAAATTAAAAATTAAAAATTAAAAAATGTAAGTTTCACAATAATAATAATATTAATTAAATAAAATAAAAAGTGTAACAGATACTAGAGTAAAAATTTTTTTTTTTTTTTTTTTTTTTTAATATAAATTTTGTTTTTTTTTTTTCTTTTTTTAATATATAAAAATAACCTATAATAAATAATTTTTAATAAAACTATATTTTTTTTTTAAAATATTAAACAATAATATTGTATTTACAATAATCTTGTCTTAAAACATAATAAAATATAGTGGGTAAAAACAATAAAATTTTTGTAAATTTAAATTATTGCAGAACTACTGTTAATCATTATTTCCCTCCAATATAACTATTTATATAATACACACTCAATAATAATATAAATAATAAAACAATTTAATTAAAAATTAATCATATAACATCAAAAAAAAAAAATGCAAAACATCCCCCCTTTCAATTAATATATATCCAACCAAGACTTTTTTATTTGTATATTATAAAACAATTATATATTATTAATATGGGGGAAAAATGGGTGTTGGAAAAAAAAAAAAAAAGAATACCCCACCACTCATATATTTGCATTTATTAGTTTTTTATTTCCCACTCGAAATAGTTTAAAAATAAACTACAAGTGGGTGTATAAGTTAGAAAGAGTAACTTAATAAAAAAAAATAAAAAAAAACAAATATTATCATATATATTTTTAATATTATTTAAGATTACATATAAATATATATAATCAAATCAAAAAGAATCAATAGAAAAAAAATACATTGTTATATATATAATTTTTTTTCATATAATATTTTTTTTCACACAAATAAAAACACACACCTTCTCTCTATTTAAATAAAACACAATATTAAATCGATTAAACATATAATAATACCATTTAATATTTAAATAATAAATAAAAATAAAATTAAATAAAAAAAAAAAAAAAGAAAAAAGAAAAAAATTAATTTATTTTTATTTTTGTCGTATTATCATTAATAACTATATTAAACCAACAATATTAAAAATTCTTAATTTATCAACTCCATCAAATTGTGTAAGAAAAAAAGAAAAAAGGAATAAAACTCTTTATTTAATTTGTTTTCTATTTTTAAATTAAAATAACTTTTAATTTTAAATTATTTGTTTTAGTATTTTTGTATTTCGTAATATTTTTTTTTTTTAATTAATTATAAAAATATACAAGTGTCATAATAGTTTATTTTCTATAATAACATATTAATATTTTTTTTTTAAAAAAGTTTATATTACTCTCAATTATCTTTTAACAAATAAAAATGATGTCAGAAGGAATAGATGATAGCGATCCAGTTTCAGAGGCCGTTGGGTAAGTTTATTTAACTATTATTACAATTACTATCAAATAAAACTATTATTTTTAACTAATTAAAATTTTTTTTAAAAATATTTAGATTTATTAGCAATATACTAACTGATAACCCAGAAACTCAATATCAAGGTTTAAAGGGATTAATGTTATGCCCAACAGTTCATGTAGTAGAATTATTTAAAAACCCAGATTATTACTATCATATTAAAAAACACCCAAATCACAAACATGTATTTATTTCACCCTCTTCCTCTAAATCATCATCATCTCCTGCAAACAGTAATAACTCGTCACCAAATAATAGTAATAACTCATCACCAACACATAGCTCATCACCACCTACCAATAAAGAAACAAATAATCACCATTCGCCACACAACGGTTCCCAATGCAGCCAATGCTCTCCAAATGGTTCACCAAAATATTCAGAAATTGATTTTGATAAAATTTCAAAGAAAAGAAAAAGTAATATTAAAAGTTTAATAGAACTATGTTTATCAGAAACCAAAAAGGTACAGTCATCAGCATTAAGACTACTATGGCATCTATCTGCTCAAGGTAAAATTTATTTATTTAATATATAATATATTATATATAAAAACTAATTTATTTTTTATTATTTTTAGCTGATTTAAAGGTTTTATTATTTGAAGAAGGTGTTTTAGATAAATTGAAATATTTGATGTTTTCTGATATAGAAAAGAGCAAAGATGAACAAGATAAACAAAGCCAAATACACAGAACAGAAGTTCAATTAGCATCATCAGCAATATTACAGAACATTACAGAATATAGATTCGAAAAAGGTGAAATCAATCCAAATCAAGTTAAAATAGTAAATGAAAATATAGTAGAGTTAATTTTAATACCACGTTCAAAGAGTTCAGATAAAAGAATTCAATTCCTTACTACTTTAACTATAGCTAACCTTTCAATGAATGAAGAAAACCACAGTGAACTCCAAAAGTGCAATGCATTTGATTTAGTTGAAAGATTTGTTATTTCAAATAGTATTTATATGGATTTAGTGTGCCATTGGATTACACTTCAACCCCACATACCTTTACTACACTCTAAATACTATCAAGTTCAATTATTTGCGTTATACTGCCTATATAATTTAATGAGAAATGGTAAATATAATAATATTTAATATAACATAAAAAACATTTTATTAACTGTTTTTTTTTATTTTAGATCAATATAAAGTTGAAGTTTGGAAAAGTTTAAGCGTAAACAATGGTGTTCAGTCAATATTTTATCTATTACATTCACCACATGGCAAAGTAGTTGAACTAGCAAGAAAGATAGCAGATCAATTACAAATCGAAGAACCCTCAGTGACAGTTAATACAACCAAAATCGGAACAGATTTAAGAAAGCTATTTAATAATCAAGAGTACTCGGATATCACTTTCGTTTGTGAAGGTAAAAAACTCTATGCACATAAAGCGATTTGTGCATCACGTTGTGAACAACTTAGAGCAATGTTCACTTGGGGTAAAGAATCAAAAGAAAACGAAATTACACTTCCAGATATACCCTATTTAGCTATGTATGGTGTTTTAGAATATATTTATTGTGGTATTGCAAATATAACTTGGGAAAATGCCTGTGATCTTTTACAATGGGCAGATTACTTTTCTCTATCCGGTCTTAAGAGCTCCTGTGAATTTTATCTATGGCACTATATTGACACAGATAATGCTCCAATTATTCTAACTGTTGCTGATCGTTACCGTTGTACTCAACTAAGAAATGTTGCTTCTAATTTTGTTATTAGAAATTGGGAAAAAATAAAAGATTCAGAAGTTTGGGTTAATCAAGTATCTCAAGATGTTAAGAACTTTATAAACGAAAAAATATATTCTTTAATAACCTGTTCATGTGGTTGCATATGCAGTTGTGTCGATGATGTAAATAATAAATCTTCACAATCACCACAACAAACTATTGATGAATAAAAAAATAATAATATCAATATATAATAATAAAATAAAAATATTAATAATTATAATAAATAATTAAACTATATTTAAATTTGTTAAAATAAATATTAAATTTCTAAAAAAAAAAAAACAAATAATATTATTTACAAAACTATTTTTATAATTTTTTTTTAAACTTTTTTATTGTTACAAAAAAAAAAAATGCCAATTACTTTTAATTATTGATTTTATTTTTTATATTTATTATAGTATTATTTATTATTTATTATTTATTATTTAAAAATATGGTCTTAAAGGTACTACATTTTTATCATAAGCTGAAACAATATCAAATTCATCAAAACGTTTTGGTTCTCTTTGTTGATTATCACCTAATAAACATATTTCTTTTAATTTTTCTTCGACTTCTTGTTCTGATAAATTAGTAACAACTGTTTTTTCTTCTTCACCCCAATCTTTATGTAAAAATAAAAAGAGTTAGTTTATTTGAAAGGTTTTTTAATATTTTGAAGAATTATGTATCCTTACCGTAACGAGCATAGATGGTTGGTTCGATACCGTGGCCTTCACGAATGAGTAATGGTAACTTTGGGTTTAATCTCTTTAAATCAGTATAATTATTTACAACAAAATTTCTTAAACCTTCTGAGCTTTTGTTTGATTGGCAGAAAGTAATTCTGATTTCTCTTAAGTTGTGTGATAATAAAGCTCTCCAAGACATCTGTGAAGATGTTATTCGTTTGTTCATTTTATAAGATTCGATATAAAGTTGATTAATTTTTATTTTTAAAATAAAAAAAATAAAAAGATTTTATGATTAATAATTTGGATAAAACTAATTATAAATATTATTAAACTTTATAGTATTATAAAAATTTTATAAAAAAAGAATTACAATAAAAAAAAAATTACAATAAAAAAAAACACAATTATGTTTTATTTTAAAACCAATAAGATTACTATTACAAATGAATTATTATATTATTTAATATTAAATACACAAAAAAAAAAAATAAAAATAATCCAATTTTTTAATATATATTAACGTTGGTTGTTTGATTAGTGGCACAGCAATAAAATATTAAAATTTATAATTACTGCTACTGAACTCTAGATTTATATAAATATATTTTTGGAATGTATAATATTTTTTTGTCTATGTTTGTCTTGGTATGTGTGAGTGTGGGTGTGGTTAGGTGTGATACATATACATAACAATAAATAACTATTTATAACTATTAATTATGTGGAAAAGTAACAATAACAAAGTTAAAAAGAAAACAAATATAAATACAAATAAATAGACACAAATAAAATAAAGGCGCTTTTTTTTTTAGTACGTGTATTTATTTTATTAATTTAAATTCTTTTTAAATGCTATTTAACAAATACAGTTATTATTGTTAAAATTTTAAATTTTAATATTGTAAAATTTTACAGCAACAACAAAAAAAAATTGTGCACACTATATAATCATGAAATAATTATAGACATAAAAACAACATAAATAACAAATTCTATTTTAATTTTATTTATTTTGATGTCAATAAAAAATAAAAAAAAACAAATAAATAAATAAATATTTTCTTTTTTTTTCTTTTTTTCTTTTTATTTTAATTCCATTTATCTTTTTATATCTACAACCCAATAACATATTAGAAAAATAAAAAAATAAAAAAATAGACACTAGCACAAACAACAACACATTTATTTGGATATTTTGTGATGGGTAATAATGTATGTTTGGGTGCTCTTTCGAGATAAATAAAAAAAAAAAAGTGTGGTGGTAGTATACTCTATTTGAAGTATTGAGGAAACTGAGTGTTTTGTGTGGTGATAATAATTTTTTTTTTGTTGGGGTATAACAAAAAACCATTAAAAAAAAAGTTGCTTTAAAGATATTAATTTTGCACACATCTTTTTATATTAAAAGATTTCATTATTATTATTCTATATGATAAATTTGTATTTATTATATTTTACAATATTTTATGAGGTGGAGTGGTAATAGCGAGAAAAACACACACAAAAAAAAATGATTTATTAAATATTATTTGATATGAATAGTTTTATTTTTGACAACGATTTGGGTAGTTAGTTAATTTAACATTTGAGATAAAATATGTGTTAAAAAAGGTTTATATTTGTACTATACGATTGTTTTTTTTTTTTTTTTTTTCATTTGTAAATTTGAATTTAGTGATGTGAATACAGTGATGTGAAATCAAAATAATTTATTTATTATAATTATTGTTATTATAACTACTATTATTATTGTTTGGTGTGAATGTTATGATTATCTAATAATAAAATAGAATTTAGATTCTTTCCCCTATTTTCTTCTCTATGTATGCTGTGTGTATTTCATTTCCTGTTATATTTTTATGTTATTATATAAAACACACAATCACAAAATCACCCCAAACAATATAAATATAAAAGTTATGAATTTATTATTAGATTGAAGATGTGTAAAGTTTAAACTAAACAAACATAATAACATTGGTTTTTATTTATATTACTCTATTATTATTATTAATACTATTATTATTATTATTATTATAGCTATTATTATAGTTATTAACCATGATGTTTTTTATTTTAAAGTTTTTTATAAATAAAATATAATTTGAAAATTTTTTAAAATTTATTTAACTTTATTTTTCTATTAATTTATATTTGTATCTATTAATTAAATATCTTTTCTCTTTTCTTTTGATTATGTATGTTTATTATTAAAGCTATTATTATTATTTACAAAGAATATATTATATGTACAAATTTTATTATTGTGTTTATACAAAACAAAATAAATTAACAATTAAAATAAAAAAATAAAATAATAAAAAAATACAAAGTTTATAGATATTTTTATTGGAATTCCATTTTGATTGTGATTTTATTTTATTTTATTCACTACCTTTTGTGATATGTGTAATATGTTAATATGAGTGTTTCAAAACTGAACAAAAAAAAAAAAATAAAAAAAAATAAAAAATCATCAAAAATTAAAAAAATAAAAAAAATTTTAAAAAAAAAATAAAAATTTTTTTTTTTTTTTTTTTTTTATTATTTTTTTATTTAATTATTTTATTTTACGAATTCAAATAATTTTTAAACCCAAGGGTTCCAATCGAAATTCATTATTTGATTATGATTTATGTAAACTAAATAAATGTTAAAAAAAAAAAAAAATACTAAATAAAAAAGGGTTGTATAAAAAATTATAAACACAAGTTTTTATTTTTTTTTTTAATCAGTGATTATTTTGATATTGCAAATTTGAGAAAGTTTTTGAACAAAAAATATTTTGTTTGCATCTTTTCCACTTGTTTTAATACCAATTTTACCTGCAATGTGTTTTAATTCTGCTAATGTCATTTTTTCATAATCTGGTTTATTTGAGGTGTTGCTATTATTATTATTATTATTATTATTATTATTATTATTATTATTATTATTATTATTATTATTATTATTATTATTATTTATTGGTACAATAGCTTGTGGTTTTTGTATGGGTGATGGTAAAGATGATGGAGTATTTACAATACTTGATTTTGATAATTTTGATGAAGATATGGCTGGAATTCTTATATTCAAACCATTATTTTTTGTTGTTGTTATTAATGCAGTTGAGTGTGATTGATTTTTTGGTGGTGAAATAAGTTGTTTGTTTGGTGAAAATGAATCTTGAGATTTATTTGTTTTATCAAATATATCATCATCATTAAAATTGTTAGAGTTATTTTTATCATAACCACCGGCACCAAATTGATCCATTCCATCATCATCAAGGCCAAAATCGAATGATGAGCTACCAATGTCATTAGTATTGCTATTGTCATTGCTATTATTATTGCTATTGTTATTGCTAATTTTATTATTAAAGGATGTTGATAAACTGAATTCAAAACTATCATCAATGATATTGCTATTATTTTGTTTTATTATATTTACTATTGTTTCTTTTTCTTTTTCTTTTTCTTTTTCTTTTTCTTTTTCTTTTTCTTTTTCTTTTTCTTTTTCTTTTTCTTTTTCAATATCTAAACCTTTATTTTTTTTTAATTTTTTACCTTTATTTCTTTTTCTTTTTTTTCTTTGAAGATGATGACAAGGTCTATTATGGTGATCACTGTCGCTACTAGTTTCGCTTTCACTTTCACTTTCGTTTTCACTTTCATTAGAAAAGCTCGAGTTGCTGTAAACTTCATAGGATCTCTTTTTATGTTTTTTGTTTTTTCTTTTATTGAGGCGATTAGATATTTTAAATGTTTGATTTAAATCTGTTAAAATTGGAATATTAGTTGAGTTTAGTTTATAATCATTTAAATTGCTACTATTATCATTTATTAATATTAATGAGGTGTTTATATTAAATTGTTTTTTAAGTTCATCAATCGCCATTTCTTTTTCGACTGTAAATCTACCTAAACTGCAATAGAATTCTTTTTCTAATGATTCGATTTCTTTGGTAACTCTTTCTCTTTCTCTATTGATTATAGTCGAGTATTTATCGGTTATTTTATTTAATTCATTTAGAAATTTATTTATATCTTTGCTATTGTTTTGATTATTTAAATCTATAATTGAGATATTGATTGATTGTTTTGGTGATATTGGTCTTTTAACTGAAGATTTATATCCCATTGGTATTTGGTATGATGATGGATGATCTTGTGTTTTTTCAGAGTGTGGTTGCTCATTATTGTCTGTCTTTGTATTTACATTATAATCAAAACTTGGAGATTGCTCTTCATATAGTGATGATGGGTGCCCATCAACAAAGTCCCAGGTTTCTTTGTCCCCTTGATTCTCTTCATTATCTTTTTTTACATCGTTTTCCTCTTCCTCTTCCTCTTGTTCTTCCTTTTCTTCTTTTTCTTTATTTGAATTGGGTTTACTGTCATCAGATGCATTTATTTCCAATACACTATCTTTCTCATTACCGCTAATATTGCTAATGATACCTCTGTCAATAATTCTTTCATCAACCTCATTTTCAGAGATGTTTGGTTCGTTACTGGTTGGGTCGTCATAAAGATATTTGCCTTTATTATTTGTTTCTAATGGTTGTTGAGATCCTAAATAGTATCTATTATTTTCATTGTTATCATCACGAAATTTAGAGATGTCCCAAAGTGAAGAGTTCTTTTGAGGTGTAAATTTTTTTGAAAGCTTACTTGTTGAAAATTTTGGTGTTGATTGAATTAACTCATCATCCTTATTTTGTTTTGTTGAGGGAAATATAATATCAGCAACTCTTGAAGATATGTCATTTCTACTACTTGAGGTGGTTGTAGGGGTATTGGTAAGAGTAAGTTTTCTATTGCTGTTTGCTGATACTGGGTTTATAGTTGGGATTTTAAAACCAGCCAAGTCTAGAGGTGTTGATGAAACTTCGACTGATGCCGATGAACAGTTTGACATTGATTCTGAAAGTGCCATGGCCATATTTAATTGATCTTGATATTCTTCATCATTATCTTCGTTTTTGCTCTTTTTCTTTGTTTCTTCATGGGCATATTGATAATTTTCTTGATCTTCATCATCAAAAAATGGTTTATCTTGTGAAATTTGAATAGTCTTTTTTGAATGTTGTTTTTTTGATGGTTTTTTATTTACACCGCCATCACTTGAGTCTTTATCGCTATTGTTATTATTACCAAAAAAATTTGATGTTATTAAACCATTGTTATTTATTTTTGAAGATTTATTAGTTTTAGATTTCTTTTTACTTGCTGTTGTTGTTGTCGTTGTTGTTGTTACTGAATTCTTATTAGCTGGCTGTTGATCATTATTTTCATATAGAGATAAAAGCTCGCTTGTTGGAAGTTTATTCTTTTTTGCACAGTTTTTAATGTGTACTATTCTGGCATCGCTCAAAACTTTTGATAAATCTTTATTGCAAATTAAACAATGCTCTTGATTTTCTTTTGATTTTTTACATTTATCAATATGCTCTTCTTGCTTTCTTTTTGAATAATTTGATAAATCTTTTGAACATATTTTGCAAATATTGGTTTTATTGTGGCTGGAATTTTCCAAACATTGATTAATATGAATTTCTTTTTCCTAAAAAATGATATAAATATAAATATAAATTCAATAAAATAAAATATAATATTTAATTTTTAATACATACCTCTCTGGTTAATGATGCAATTGATATATTACAAATTATACACTTTGAAACTATTACTTTGGATTGCTGCGAGTTACTTCCACTATTATTAATATTACAATTTAATTCTTCAGATTTATTATTTACATTATTAATTGGGCTCGCTGGGGTATTTAAATTCTCTTTATTATTTACATTATTATCCTCTAATGGTGAAGATGTTATAATATCTTCATTATCCAATTCTATGAGATGTGATTGTGACTGTGATTGAAGTTTTGGTTGTGGTTGTTGTAATTGCGGTTGCAGTTGTGGTTGTGATTGTGATTGTGATTGTGGTTGTGGTTGAGATATAGTATGTGATTTTTCTTCAATAAGGATAATATCTTTTTCTTTTTCTTTTTCTTTTTCTTTTTCTTTTTCTTTCTCTTTATCTTTTTCTTTTTCCTTTTCTTTCTGACTGTTTAAATAGGATGAGGTTGGTCTTTGGGCTTGTTCTAATTGATCTAATGATATTTTTGATTTTTGATTTTTGTTATTACTTTCAATGTGTTCCGACATTGCTATTTAACTATGAATCTAACATTTGTTTAAATAAATACAAGAATGCATTATTGTTATCTGAAAAATTAAAAATTATAAAAAATTTTAATTTTAAAAAAAATAAAATAAAAATAAAAATAAAAATTTTTTTTTAAAATTTTTATTTTTTTTATTGGAAATTTTTTTCTTCTAAATACAAATAATAAATTATTAACTATTTCTTTTCATTAAAATTTATTTAATAAACTCTCTTTTATTTTATTCTTTATTTTTTATTTTATTAAACCTAAAACTAAAACTAATTGTCACTGCTCGGTTTTTAATGGAAATAAGATGATAGATCCATCAGAGATTTTAGAAAACTATAGAAAGGAACTGACTCTAACTTATGATCAATTTATTGCTCAACATCAGGTCAAAGAAAATCAAATCGTGAATGATGTAGGTTATGAAAAAATGATTCAACTTAAAAGAATTGATATGAATAGCGATGAGCATTTCTTCTTTAAAGATAACATGATGAAAATTATATATCTCACTAATAATAAGCTTGTAGGGATTATTTGGAGTGAATTCATACAGTCAATTCATAAGAATGATCAAGGAGAAATCGTTGGTTCACGAGCAAGTAAAATAGCAAACCATATAATTTATGCTAAAAATGGTATTGCCGCTTCAATTGAAGGCGATAATGTAATTTTTATCGAATTCTTTCCCCCTCAATCTTTGCAGGAATATTTATCTGGTATTTATAAGAAGCCACTTTCATTTCGGAGATAACAAATTATTTTATAGCTTTTTATTTAAATAAAAAAAGATCATATGACAAATACCACAAGGCAACAGGTTCGGTTGGGATCTTTTGAAAAAAATAAAAAATTAAAAATATTTAAAAAAAAAAAAAATTAAATAAAAAAAAAACGGTGTTTTTATAAAAACCAATAGGATTGCGTAAATTTGTGGGATGGTTTTTTGGAATCTAGATACCAACAACTGATAATATTTTCAGTATGAAAAATCAAGAAAAACAATTTTTTGAAAATCTTTTTTTATGTGCAAATCTATTCAAACAGTGCATACATTTTTTTAATAATAAACTCATTTTCAACAATAATCTTTTTTTTTTTTTCGAATACAATATTACTTTTTTTTTTTTTTTTTTTTTTTTTTTTTTTTTTTTTTTCCCGTTTTAAATTTTTATCATTATTTTATTTTTTTTTTGTAAATCAAACATATGTTTTTGATTTTTTAAAATAATAAAAATAATAATAATTCCAGTGATAACATCAAAAATAAAAATAATTTCTTATTAATCTTAATAAAAAAAATAATAGAAAAAATAATAAAAATAAATAAAAAATAAAATAGAAAAATTTATATTATAAAATAATAATGAAAATTTTAATTTTATTTTTTATAATATTAATTAATGTATTTTTAATAAAATCTGTACCAGTACCAACCAATTTAAAATTATTCAGTCAAAATGGACATTATTACGAAAGGTTTGTTATACCAGAAACATTAACGGTAGCAGAGGCAATTTCGAATTGCACAAATATTAAAGTTAATAATACTAGAGGTTATTTAGCAACTTTTACTAGTCAAGAAGAATGGCTTTGGGCTACTGAAAATGGTTTAACAGCCACAGGAGCTTGGATGGGTGGAACGTGTGTATTTTAAATAAAACAAAATAAAGATAAAAAAAATAAAAATAAAATAATATTAATATTTTTTTTTCATTGAAGTGATATTGGACAAACAGGTGTATGGTCATGGGATGAAAATTCTCCTGAAAAAGGACAATTAATGTATAATCTATACTTTGATAAATGCTACACCTTTTGTTTATTTGGAAACTTGGAACCAAATCTAATTGCAAACGAGCATTGGGTACATACTTCAGGTAAATATTATTTTAAAACTAAAATGAAAAAAATATAATAAATTGTTTAACATATTAAATAATTATATCTATAGGCAGTGCAACTGTACCATACTGGAATAATAATGGGCCTTTAGCCAAGCTTTCATCTTTTTTATGCGAATTTGGAGGTTTAGATAAACCATTTGTACCAACATCACCCACAGTAGGATCTAATGTTACTATCACAAATTTAGGTAGCTTTGATATTAGTCAAATTTCAATTACTTTTACAAGTCGTTCAACTTTAAATAACTTTCCATGTACAACCATTACTAAAATTGATTCATCATCAGTAATTTGTCAAATTCCACCAGGTCAAGGAAAATATATAATTGAAATTAAAGATAAAAGTGGAAAAAGTGAAACCATATATTGGCATTATGAATGTATGTATAGATATTGTTTTAATTTTAACAATACTTTAAAAGAAAAAAATCAATATTAATACATTTTTTAAAATTATTAAAGTACCAATGATTGGGGGTGTAAATGCAGTTTTTAAAAAAGATGAAGTTGCAACTATTACTGGTTCTAATTTCGGTACAATAGCAAGCGAAATTTCAATTACAATGGGCAGTCCAGAGATTAAATGTACAAATGTTGTAATTGTTAAAGAACATGAGGTTATTTCATGTAAACTTTCAGAAACATTAGGAGAGGATAATAAATTCCTTCCAATTTCAATTAATGTTTCACAAAGTAATTTTGTATCTTATAAAGCTGCAGTTTGTAAGTTTTTTTTAATTTATATAAAAGGTAAAAAAAATTAATATTAATACAAAAGGATTTATAGATTTTGAACCCCGTTATTATTCAGGTTTTCAAACTTGGGCAACTTTTGATGTATCAATGAAAAATTATAGTAATTCTTTAAGAATCGATGGTCAAGGTAAATAATTATATAATATCTATGAAATTAATAATATTATAAAACCTAACTAAATTTTTTTTTTTTACAGTTGGTTATTTATATTCAATGGTCGATAATAATTTAAGAGTATTTTTAAATAAAACTCTACCAAAACCATTTAATAATAATAGATATTATTTTTGGCAAAATGCAAAATATATTGGAAATAGAAATTTTGTCTATTTAACAGGACCAAATGCAGGAAAAAAATGTGATTTAATATATAGTAATACTGTAGCAAGTTTCGATGCAGCAGCAGCAACCTGGGATGAAAATACAAGATTTATAATTTACTTAGATACCTTAGAGTTACAATCATCAAATGTAACAGGTCAATCAGCAGTTATTACAGAATATGGTGGTTATAGCCCTACATTCGTATCAAATACAACTCACTTGGTTAATACAAGTGGTGGTAAAGTTGATGTTAAGATAGACAATTATGGTACCGTTTACAGCACTATTACCGTTACTTTTAGAGGAAATAATATTTCATTTGTAAGAGATTACATCAATGGTGAATTAGATGTTGATATTCCTAGCGGTTTTGATGGTCCCTATGAAATTTATGTTAATGTTGGTAATTTAAGAACTCCAAGTAATACTCAATTTATAGATTATGCTCCTCCAAATATAATTTCTATTCCTTCCATCCCAACTGTTGGTGGAAAAGTTACAATTAATGGTGAAAGTTTTTCAAATACATTAACCAATACAGTTTTGAATTTCCCAAATTGTCAAGGTTTACAAATATTAGCCAATTATTATAGCTATACTTGCACATTACCTGCAGGAAGTGGTAGTATTCCAGTCACTCTTCAAGTATCTCAAAAAACTTCAAAAGTGTTTACATTCACTTACAAATCTCCAAGTGTTGATTCAACAAATAGTCTCCCTCAAACTGGTAGTACCCTTTATATAGATGGTGAAAATTTTTCAACAAAACAAAGTAATATCCAAGTTAAAATTGGTTCAAAAACATGTAGTAATGTTGTATTGGAAACAAATGAAAACAAAATCAATTGTCAAGCTCCAGCCCAAGACCCAGGTAGTTATGATTTAATTGTAACTGTTGATGGTTTGTCATCGGATCCATTTAAAGTCAAATACTTTTCCTCAGATCTATCTTATGTACAAGTTGGTGCAGATTTAAAGATAATAGGAAAAGATTTACCAACCGGTGCTACATTGGTTTTAGCTAATGTCGATATTTCAAACTATTGTACAGGAGGCGGAACAGAATACTATTGCGTTGACTTACCATTGGAGGTCAAAAGTGGTAATCTAAAAATAACCAAGGGTTTAAACGAATACCCAGAATTCCCAATCGAATTAAAACCATATATTTCAAGTATATCAACACAGTTATTAGATACCGTCACACCAACTGATATTATAATAAATGGTCGTTATTTTGAAACCAGTGAAGAAATACCAGTTTATTGTAAAATTGATGATACCGATATTAAAGATCAAACATTTATCCTCATAAGCCCAGAACAAGCCAAAGTTACAGTAAAAGGTGGATTTGGTGAAAATCATAAATTAAAAATAGTATCTAAAAATCTATCTTCAAACGGCGTGTTATTTTCATTCCAACCTCCAGAAATTACAGAGGTATATCAAGATGAATTATCAACATTGGTAACAATAAATGGTTTCAATTTTAGCTCCACTAATAGTATAGTTACATTTGGAAATTATAAACCAAATATCAAATATGCAGATTCATATAAAATTCAATTCGAACTCGACAATGAGAATTCAAAAAATGGCTATATTAGTGTTGATGTTCAGAATCAAATATCAAACGAAATGTATCTTTCAATTCAACCTATTTTATCCAGTGTTTCACCAATCCCAACATTAAAAGGTCCAACCATCATTACAATTACAGGTCAATTATTATTTGAAAAAGATTTTGCCAATGATCCAGTAAACTTGCAATTCTATTATAAATTAAAAACAGGTCAAGATTTAAATGAAAAGAAATTAACTTGTAATGCTATAAAAGATGGTACTAGCTTTGCATGTGAAATTGGGGATGGTTTTGGTTACTTTGATTTAATAGCTTACTCTAATCAAACATTAAAATCAAACACTATCTCATCAAACTATCAAGCACCACAAGTTTTATCTGTTTTAACACCAGTTTACTATCAAGAGCCAACCAATATTCAAATTGCAGTTAAATATTTTGTAATAGAATATACAAAAGTTTTCATTGAAAATGTCGAATGTACTAAAGCTTCAAAGATAAATGATACCGTTTTACAATGTTATTACACCGCATCAGTATCTGATCAAGGAAAAGAAGCATTAACAGTAACAGTAACATCAGCTCAAGTCAATGGTAGTAAAGCAGCATTAATTTATTCGACTCTATTTGATTGTATAGATCCAACATGTTCTCAACATGGTACATGCGATAACAAACAAGGAAAATGCATATGTGAAGAAGGTTGGAAAGGCCTTTCATGCCAAAATCAACATTTAAATAGCAGCAGTAGTGATGATAATGGTAGTGATGGTTCAAAACCAGTTATTACTCCACCAGTTGTAGATGAAGATGGAAAAACCGAATTTATAAATGATAAAATTAATTTTACTGTTTCAATTACACATCTACGTGAATTAGATTATCTTGGAGAACCTGTTAAAACTTTAAAACTTTCAGATATTCAATGGTCATCAAAAGATAACTCTGTTCAAAATGTTTATTATTATAAGGGTACTTTTAAAAACGATACAGCTGTATTTGAACTAACAGTAAAATACTTTGAAAAAGAAAATCAAATAGAATTTGCAGGAGAACCAATTTATATGCCAGAAAACTCTATCAAATATGAAGTAACAATTTCAAATTGGACTTTTTCCTCACCATTAAACTCTTTACAAACCATTTATAACTCCAAGACTGATAAAAAATCAACACTCAATTGTGGTACAGTCGAATCTACAACATTGGTTGGAACTAATCAATTCCAAATTCAAACTGCTAAAGGATCTTTGGCTGCAAGGTTTTCAAGTAGAATTATTTTAGATGATAGAGTTATTAAATCAAATGTTTTTGCTTTACACAATAATGATATTCTCTATACAGTTTACAATAATAAAAACAGCTCAAGTAATGACTTTTATTTATTAACAGCTATTGAAAGTCCAATATTTAAAGATAAAATTGTTTTAGACCCATTGTTTTCAAGTTTAATTAATAATAAAGACGACAATTCAGATGGTTGTAATGATAGAAAATGGGTTGTGCCGGTTGCTGTTGTAGTTGGAGCTGTTGGTGGTTTAGCTTTTATTTCGGCTGGTGCTGTATTTTATCGTAGAAAAATTAAATTTTCAAAATATTTAAAAAAAATTAATTCAGTCGAATTAAGTAACAAATAATAAAAAAAAATAATAATTTATTTTATTAAAAAAATTAAAAAAGATTAAAATTATAGATCTTTATTTTGATAATGAATAGAAAATTAACTAGGGATGGAGAATTTTTAATTCTATATAATAATAAATGATAAAATTGATGATGAAGGTTGACCCGGATCTGTGACCAAATGATATTAATTTGCACTTAATAAAACGGATGAAAGTGTTAATTGTTAATGTTGATGGTATTTAATTGATAAATGAAGATAGAATAACCTATTGTTGAAAATAAACTTTATAGGAAAGAATGTAATTAATTCAGAGTAAGTAGATTTTAGAATTGAAATTTCGATTTTTTTCAAATTGATTAACTTGGATTTAGATTTGGAAGGCAGAATGAATCGATAAATGAATAGAGTTGGATGTATTGCTTTTATTTTTATATGTCATGATTATTTTGATGATTATTATTCCATTTTAATATTATTAACTCTTTTATAATTTCCTTGTCTGGATCGAATTTTTCATTATTATTTATAATATAATCTTTTATTATATATGTCTCTGGATGATGAATTATTTATATTACCAAGGTTATGGAATATTGATTATTAATATTATTATTATTATTATTTATATTATCATTTTTATATTATTATATTTAATAGTTTATATTTATATTATCGTTATTATTATGTGTTGAAATTGAAAGAATTCAAATCTAATTAAGAATCTTTTTAAGTTTTAAAATTAAATATTAGTTTCTTTTATATTCGAATATAATAATAACTATATAAATATGAACATACCTTTAAAGTACAATTACCCCAATCAATGATGAATGACCTGAAAACCACAATTAAAAAGAATAAAGTAGACCCTAATGAATAATGGGTGACTTGGAAAAACCCCATATTGCTTGATAAATGATGTAAAAACCCAATTAAAAAGAATAAACTAAACCCAATGAATGATGAACAATCTGAAAAAACCACAGCGTTTGATGATTAAAAACCCACAATGTTTGACGAATAAAAAAACAACCCACAGCGTTTGATGAATTAAAAACAACCCACAATGTATGATGAACGATTTGAAAAAACCACAGCGTTTGAATGACTTAATAAACCCACAATGTATGATGAAAGATTTGAAAAACTACCCCAATGTTTAATAAATGACTTGAAAACCCCAATTAAAAAGAATATACTGAAACTCAATGTTTGATGAATGACTTGAAAACCCCAATGTATTACTAATGACTTGAAAACCCCGATTAAAAAGAAAATACTGAACCCCAAATGTTTGATGAGTGACCTGAAAAAACCCCAGAGTTTGATGAATTACTTGAAAACTAAAATTATAAAGAAAATACTGAAACGCGATATAATGGAATATATGGAACCCCCAATATATGAATAATTGCTCGAAATAAATAACGTATTGAAACTGAAAAAGAAAGAATTGAATCTGAACTAAATAAATATTAAATTTAGATATTAGTTTCTTTTATATTCAAATTTAATAATAATTATGTAAATATTAACATTATAGTTACCTTAAAATTATGAATATCCCAATGTAGACTAGATAGAACGTGAAGCTTGAAAGAGAATGAATTATACTAAATATGAATTAAATATTAGTATATTTTATATTCGAATTTAATTTATGCAGTTATAAACACTATAGTTACCTTAATTATATAAATGCCCTATTATTGACATTATAGAAAGAACATGGTTATATTGAAGAGAAAAAACCTGATAATATTCTGAGAGATCGACTTGATAATAGTGTGAGAGAAAGAATTATAAACTATATAATAATTAAAAATAAATATTAGTTTCTTTTATATTTAAATATAATAATTATGTAATTATAAACACTATAGCTACCTTAATAAAATAAATGCCTAGAATTGACATTATAGAAAGAACTTGATAGTGTGAGAGAAAGAATAATAATTTTACTATATAATAATTAAAATTAAATATTAGTTTCTTTTATATTTAAATATAATAATTATGTAGTATAAACGCTATAGTTACCTGAATAATATTAATGCCCTATTACTTACATTATAGAAAGAGAATGGTTATACTGAAGAGAAAGAACCTGATGATACCGAGAGAGAAAGGATAATAATTATACTATATAAAAATTAAAATAAAATATTAGTTTCTTTTATAATAATATTTTAATATATTAATATTATAGTTACAATATGATGAGAACTTATTAATGGAACCATGAGAACTTTTTGAACATTATTTTGTAGAGTTGAAGCTATTGATGAACTATTTACTAGTATACTGTAGATAACGATGAGAATGTGGTCCAATGATGATGTTTTAAGTTTAACCTTTAATGATTTACTAATTAATACTACGTTTCCATATGGATGGTATATTATTGATCTATGTCAATGTAATCATAGATTTAGTGGCCAGCTAATTCTTGATACATATTCATGAAATCTAATAATTACCATTTGAAACGGTAATGGAAATCTATTCGATATCCATTTGGTCAAACTATTCCAAATCGATATTGGATTCGTTGGAATTTGCATCATGATCATAAAATTGGTGGACTTTGATCACCTTGCTCTATGTTGGATTCGTTTGTTGAACCATTTGCTTGATTGACTCTCTACAATTAAATAATAAATTAAATTAATATATATGTTTTATTTATTATGTATAAAATATGAATGTATGAATTACTTACTCTAACCAAATAGAATGGAGCTCTACAATTTGGACATGTGTTATTACGACGATAAGACATTTCCATAATGCAATCGAAACAAAACATGTGGTTACAATCGATTGCTGCAAGTTGGCTTGGTTCAATTCTTTCGATGCAAATAGTGCAAGTATTTTCGTTTTCTCTACGTTCTGCTTCTTCTCTTTCTTGTTGTTCTCTTTGTTGTTGTTGTTCTCTTTCTTGATTTTCTCTTTCTTCTCTCTCTTGTTGTTCTCTTAATTGTTGTTCTCTTTCTCTTTCTTCTCTTTCTAATCTTTCTAATCTTTCTCTTTCTAATCTTTTTTGTCTCTCTAAATCTTCTAAACGTACCCTTTCCATTGCTCTTTGTAATGTTTCTTTTAATATTGTTTGGGTACGTTCTAATTCTTCTCTTTCTTTTTTTTCTCTTTCTTTTTGTTCTTTTTCTTTTTGTTCTTTTTCTTTTTTTTCTCTTTCTTTCTTTTCTTTTTCTATTCTTTTCTTTTCTAAAGCTTCTCTACGTTCTTTAATTTCTTTTTCTAGTCTTTCTTTTATTAATCTTTGTCTTTCCAAAGATTCTCTATGTTCTCTTTCTTTTCTTTCTTTTTCTAATTTTTCAATACGTTCTTTTACTTGGGTTTCTCTTTTTAATTGTTCCATATATTCATTTTCTTTTTGTTGTTCCTTTTTTAATATTTCCATTTTTTCTTTTTCCATTCTTTCTCTGGTATGGTCGAATGGTGAATTTGGAAATACATTTTCTGGTTGTGATGGTTCCTTTGGGGCATGACTTAAAATTTCTTGGGTTACTGAGGAACGACCAGAATTATCTTGATTATTATAATATTCGGAACAACAATATATGTTTTTGTATGCGGAATAATAGTATGTTGAGGTACTATAATACTTATTTTTTTCTTTTGGGGATTGATCAACTGGGGTAGAATTTGTAGTTTCGTTAATTTTGTGGTTGTTGATGTGGGTGTCGCTGTTGATGTGGGTGTGGTTATTGATGTGGGTTTGGCTATTGGTTTGGGTGTGGCTATTGGTTTGGGTGTGGTTATTGGTTTGGGTTTGGTGTGGGGTGGAACGGAAAATAATTATTAAAATTATTAATGACCAAATAAAAATAGCAAATAAAATTGTTTCTAACATTTTTTTAATTAATGAGTGAATATAAAAAAAATGAAAGTTATTATGGAATGTGAAATATTATTGCTATTATTTAAAACTTTTTTTTTTGATATTATATACTATGTGAAACTATATACAAATATAATTTTATTTTTTATTTAATTAAAAAAGAATTTTTTTTATTTTTTTTTTAATTAATATTTTTTTGTGTGGGTCTGTAAAAACAAAAAAAAATTTAAAGAAATTTAAAAAAAAAAGTTGTTATATTAACTTTATATAAAACAATGTTTAATTTATTATAAAATTTAAAAATTAAAAAAAAAAAAAAATAAAAACAAAAAAAAAAAAAAAAAAACACCCCAATGGGGTTGAAGTTCATACTTTTATTATAATTTCTTTATTATATAATTGATAATGTATATGACACATTGCAATGACATATAAAACATGATATATGTTTCAATTATTTAAAAAAAAAAAAAACCCAATTAAATTTCTCTTTTTTTTGATATGAATAGCATTATATTTGTAAATATATTATTTATGTTTCATGATTTATAGTTTTGTAGAAAATTATTTGTGTTAATTTGTGTATCGGGTGTTATTTTTGATCAATTAAAATAAAAAAATATAAATTATTGAAATATAAATTTATAAATTAAAAAAAAAAAATTATAAAAATTTAAAAAAAAAAAAAAAAAAAAAATAAAATAAGAAAAGACTATCTTTTGTTTGTAATATCTTTATTTATATATTTTATGAATATGAGAATGTAGAGCATATATATATGATTGATCTTGGTTGAAAAAGACGATGAGTAGTTAAAATACAGGACTTGTCGATGAATAAAAAAAAAATTTTGCTAAAATGTACCTTCGCATGTTGATTGAGCAGGAGCTGGTAAATTAAAATTTTGATGCAAGTTTTTGAGTTTAAACAATGAATATGATTTTGAGTATCTTTTTGAATTGCTTCTGATAATAATGAGTACGAATTGGGGTTGGTTGAATGATATTATAGATCTATACCACAAATTGACATAACCATTCTCTTATTACTACTTGATCTTGAAACACCTAAACCTAAACAAATTTGAATTATTTAATTTATAAAGATCCACTGCATCACTATTATTATAACATTTGTTTGGATTAACTTCACGATTTTGAGTTTTAAAACCAATTGTTGCAATTGATTTAAATGTAGGAACTTTTTCGTCTCTTTCATCAATTTTACAGACTTTATAATAACCATCAAGTTCAATTGCAATCCAAATTTTCTCATCTTTTAATGTATCTTTGAGCAATGTGTTAATGTTGCTACTTGAGGAATCTGAAATTGTTGGCAACCAATCTTTATTTACAATATGATTTAAATTATCTTTGGAAAAAATGCACTATCACCAACTAAATCAAATTTAAGATATTTAACAGACCCTCTTCTAGATTTGTTTGATGAGTCAATCTGTATGTCTGATGTCATTTGTACTTGGGATGTATTGATATTGCTTTTGAATAACCAGTTTGAAATTGATAATGATAATTTGAATCCTCATTTTGTAACTTTGAATTGATAACCTGCAAATGTGAAACCTTTATCTTTATCGTTTACTTCTTCTATTATTAATTTTATTATTGCATTGGTATTGTCTTCATTAATTCTTATTTGATTGAATGTGGTGACTGATTCTTGCTTGTTTGTAAATATCTAGTTGTTTGATAAATTGAATATTGTTATTTGTTGATTGTTAAAGTCTAATTCTATAATTGAATCGATATTGAATATCCTATAACTTGATTTTTAATTATAACTGTTCCATTGTTATTGGTTTCTGTTTCTGTTTCTGCTTGATTATTATTGTTATTGTTATTAATTGGTGATGAACAATCGAAACCTGTGTATTCTGAATTACATTTGCATGTACCTGTTGTTTTATCGCATATTCCATGTTCATGGTATTTAGATGAACATTCTTTTTCTGTGGTATAATATGGATATATGTTACCACTCCATGTGATTGTATTTTGTGTGTAATTGATTTTTTTTGAACCAATATTACCTGTTCCGATTGTTGTTTTGAGTTGATTCTGATGATAATATAATATATTAATTTGACACCAATCGATTCTAAATATTTGATACTTTAGAATTTGCTGATCTTAAAAGTGTTTTTTAGTTGTACAAACATTCTTTTATCGGGTTTTAAAATCTTCAATCCAAAATATTTGATATCGTAATTGCATACTTTGCAATATTTATTCTTTCTTGAAGACTGTTCATAAATCAATTGGTTTGATGGTGTGTCTTTGATAAAGTTTGGGAATATATATATATGTTCATTGAAAAGCTAGATATTTGACATTCTTTATTTTATATTTTAAAACTGCTTCACTGTTGGTATGCTTTATTTAATGGTGATACGTCTATGTGTATTAATTTAGTGATTGTATTTTATTTTTAATTAGTATAACATTATATAAAACAATTGTTTAGTGATGTGTCTTTGTATTTCGCTTAATATACATTAAAGAAGGATATTTTATTAATTTGCAAATAAAAAAACAATTATTAAATTATTCATTTTTAAATAGTAATTAATAAAGTTATGTGAATTGTGATTTAATGTGGGGTTGTAAATTATTTTATAAAAAATTATTATTGCAATTATTAAAAACTATAAAATTTGGGAAATATTATAATAAAAATAAAAGTATATGATTATTTGTATGTGAATAAAATAATAAAGAAAAAAAAAAAAAAAAATTTTTAATAATGAAAAAAAATTTTAAAAAAGTTAAAAAGTGTTTTAAATAATGTTTTTAAAAAATCTTACAAAATGATAATTTATATTATAAGTGCAAGAAACAGTATTTTATAAAATAAAAATTTTAAAATGGTATGTGTGAGGATTTGTATTTTTATAGATAGGTGTTTGGGAATTTGATCAGAGTGGTTTCTGGTAATTTGTAAAAGGTGGATTTTTATCTACTTTTAGAAAGTTGTTGTAGTTTGATTGGATCGTTCTTGCATATTCTAGTGAGGAGAGTTTGATCCATTTAATGTTGGATGTCATTAAATTTAGAAATTGCATTGGTCAATCTCTTTGTTAAATAATTTGGGTACCCAGATCCAGACTTGGTGGAAGATAATTGAAAGCATGTTTCTGCAATAGGTTCTTATAAACGAGTTCTTTTATTGCCTTAGAACTTAGATTTAAAATCGGTGAAATCTCCGGGAAGATACTAATATTGTTAGCTAAAAAAAATTGGCTGCTCTGAGAATCGAACTCAGGACCCCTTGTTTACAAGACAAGTATTATGCCACTAAACTAAGCAGCCATTGATGATATCTTAGTGTTGTGTTTTAAATTAATGTGTAATTTTTCAAATAATTTTTTATAAAAATATAAAATGTGAATCTCTGTGCTGTAGTTATCAAAACTACCCGAAGGTAAATAACATTCTATAGAACTCCTTAAAAGCATGGTTAACAACTGCAGGCAAACTGGCTCGATGTAATGGGGGATGTAAAAGCTGGGCATTCGCATAAAATAATAAGCTGATGAATACAGTAAGTGAATCATTGAAAAGATTTAGAAGGAGTTAATTTCTCGTTATTTATTCTGTCTCTAAATAATCAAAACGAAATAAAATAATTCGTGTTGACATTTGCCCCATTCAAATTAAATATGGCAAAAATCTGTGGTTAACGATTAAAACAAAAAGTTTAATTTTTACTGCAGCCAGTTTATAAATATTTAATCATTTTTTCTTTATTTATTATAATATTATTAATTAAACCAATACATTGCTTACAAACCTGTGAGTACAACTGTTAAAATATAATAAATCTAATTAGATTTATTATATTCAAAACTCTTTTTTTTTTTTTTTTTTTTTTTTTTTGTGTCATGATTACAAATGCCTATAACAAAGTAAAAATTATTTGGAAACAATTTAATAAAAAAAAATAAAAAAAAAACTATTTGTTATTTTCCTTAACAGGCTTTATAGATTTTTATCATTATTAATTTTTATATTCTTGCTTGGTTTTTGTGTCATATTCAAAAAAAAAAATTTATTATTTGAAGAAAAATAAAATTATTTGAAAAAATGATATAAATATTTATATTTTAATAATATTGCTAATTTTGATAAATGATTAAGATTGAAATTTATTTTTATTTTATTTTTTTTTGTTTTTTTTTTTTTTTTGAATTATTATAATAATGGCATGAAAAAAACAAATTGGAGATATAGATATAAAATAACACCTTTTTTTTTTTTTTTTAATTAATTTTATCCATGCTCCAAATAAAAATAATAATAAAAATAATAATAAAAATAATAAAAATAAAAATAAAAATAAAAATAAAAATAAAAATAAAAATAAAAATAATAACAAATCAATTGTCAGTTGAATATAGAGTTAAAAATAACAACAAATAATTACACACCAAAAAAATTTTATAACCCCACAAAAATTTCATCAAACACAAAAAAACAACATATTATTTTTTTAATTAATTTAACAATCTATTAATAGATAAAGAAATATTTGAATTTAAATTAAATAAAATTTTAATATTTAACGTTGGTGATGAAGTAAGTGTGTGAATTCAATGAATAAATTACATGGTTTTAATTTAATAAAAAAAAAAACTAAACACACATGGATTTTGATTTAATTAAAACAAATAAAATAATAGCATCAGTTTATCAACACAAACAAAAAAAGATATAGAGATTTTCACAATAAAAAAAAAAGAGTAAAATTATGATTTTTTTTTTTTTGTGAGGATAAATGATTGATTGATAAAAAAAAAAAAAATTCAAAAAAAAAAAAAAAACCAACTTGTTTTTTTATAATTTTATTTTTTTTTTTTGATTTTTTTTTAAAATTTTTTTAAAACTAATTTTTTTCTTTTTTTTTTTTTTTTTTCTTTTAAAAAATTATTATAATAATATAAATATCATTTTATATATCTATCTAAATTGTTCTTTGTATTTATATTTTTTATATATAAATATAAAATCAGTATAGTTTAATTTTTTTATTTTTTTTTTTTTTATTAAATCTAAAAAAAAATAAAAAATTCTAAAAAAATAAAAATAAAAAAACGATTCTATAAAATTTGTATAAAAATCTTGTAAAAGTAAAAAATAAATTATAAATATAAATAATAGAAAATGGGTAAAGGAAAAGATAAAGTAACAGAAAAAGCTCCAGCAAAAACTAAATTTTTTGTAGCTGTTATGGGTGCAGGTTCAGTTGGTAAATCAGCTTTAACCGTCCAGTTTACACAAGGTGTTTTTATTGATAAGGTATGTATTTAAAAATAACATGTTATTTGTTATTTATTATTTTATTATTAATTTTAAATTTCTTTTTTTTTTTTTTTTTTTTTTTTTTTTTTTTTATAATTATTATAGTACGATCCAACAGTTGAAGATACTTATACAAAAACATTTGAGTTGGAAGGTGAATCAGTTTGTATTGAAGTTTTAGATACAGCAGGATCAGAAGTTTTAGTAGCAATGAGAGAATTATATATGAAAAATGCAGAGGGTTTTATTTTAGTTTATAGTATACTTGTTAAATCTACATTTTTAGAAATTAAAGATATTGTAGAACAATTATTTAGAGTTAAAGAAGAAGAAGAGGTACCAATTGTACTTGTTGGCAATAAAATTGATCTTGATGCTCATAGAGAAGTTTCAACAGCCGAGGGTAAACAATTAGCAAGCTCTTATCCAAATTGTGATTTTTGGGAGGCCTCCTCTAAAGATAGAATCAATGTAGATAATGTTTTTTATAGTATTGTAAAAAGAATTAAAGAAAAATATAAAAAAGAGGGTGCTCCAGTAAAAGAAAAAAAAGAAAAATGTATTATTATGTAATTAAAAAAAAAAAAAAATTATATTATATAAATAAAAGTTATATTTATTATATATATATAAAAGCATATATATATTATATATAAAACCATAAATTAATAAAAATTAAATTAAAATTAAATTAATAAATAATTTTATAAAAGTATTGTAAAACAAGAAAAAAAAAAAAAAAAAGAAAAAAGAAATATTTTTTTAAAGTACATTTTTTTATATTACAACAATAAAATAATAATGAATTGTATTATTATTTTATAATTTATTTTATTATATATATGTTTTTTCTTTTATATGTGTTAATTTATTATTAGCCTATTATTATTGATTATAAAAAATTGATTAAATATAAATATAAATTCTTTATTTGTAAAAATGATATGTTCGTATTGATCTTTGAGTGAATCAATTTCGTCGAAACTATCCTGTAAATAATAGGTTGATAATTGTTTTAAACATAATAGCTGTTCATCGTTTTTAAATTGTTTTAAATTAAATATTTTTTTTATATTTTCATTATCCAATATATATTTTAACCTGGCTTTGTCTTGAATCATATAACAGTATTTAAAAATTTTAATTAAATTATCTTTAATTAAATTATTATATTCTTCTTTTTCTTTTTCTTGTATTTGTTGTGATTGTGGTTGTTGTGATTGTTGTGATTGTGATTGTTGCAGTTGTTTTTTAATTTTTAAAATTATTAAAATATTATTTAAATATAAATCTATTGACCAATGATATTGTTTAAGTGATACTAATAGTTTTAATGCTCTTTGATTGGATTGAAGTGATTCTCTATATTTTTTAAATTTATAACCTATACATGTTGCTAATAAATAAACTACTACTGATTTAAAACTAACTTTACAATAACATAAACCACCTGCAATTTCATTTAAATAATTTAAAATAGTTTGAATTTTTTCGTCATCTTGATTTATTCCTTCTTCCTTTACTTTATTTTCAATTGTATTTTCTTGTTGTTCTTGTTGTGCTTGTTGTGCTTGTTCTTGTTGTTTCTTTTTAATCTCTTTTAATAATATATTAATTTTATTTAAAAATACTTTATATAAATTTGTAATATTGGAGGATAGAGAAACTATATTTTCATATTTGGTAAAATCTTCATTTGAAACTAAAGAGAGTTGAAGAAATGCTTGAATATAGTGATGCTCTGATAAACTAGCTTGAAACAATCTTGTTAATCTTGCAATATATAAATTGGTTTTACATGATAGTGAGGCTGTTTGAAAAATATTATTTAATGTTGGTGATTCTGTTGTTTGTTGTTGTGATTTTAAAACATCTAATAATATATATAGGGTTTTAGCAGAATCTCTAATATACTGTCTCGAGCTATATGATTTGGCAACATTGAATAAATTTTTACAAGCCAGATTTGGTTTAGTATTTTTTATTTTAATTGATTGTTGTATTAAATTTATCTGTTCTAATAAAAAATCTGAATCTTTTGAACTAATATTATTATTATTATTGTTATTGTTATTACTATTGTTTTTATTTGGTGATGCTTTTGTTGGAGTTAAATTTAAACTGGTTGTTTTCTTTTTTTGATCTTTAATGGCTTTTAAATGTTTGCTACTATTAATATGTGTATTCCAAGTTTGTTCAGTTTGAAACCTTTTTTTACAAAATGGACAATAATATTGGTTATTAGAACTACCTGTATCTTCCTCTTCACCATCACTATCATCTTGATCTCCATCATTATTATCCTCATCATCACTATCATCGCTATTATTGTCATTATTATTATTATTATTATTATTATTATTACTAATGTTACTATTCTTTGGTGATTTGATTGTAGATACTACAATAACATCTCCTGATGTTAATAATGATAATGGTTCTAAAATTAATTCTTTAAAATCTATTTAAATATATTAATAATGGTTAGTTACAATAAATATTTTATTAATAAAAAACTTTGTCTAAATGAATACCAACAATCATTTTCATAAACTTCAAGTGAATAACTTGGTAGTTTTGATAAAACTTCCTCATAACTTGATACATTATTATTATTACTATTATTTGTATTTTCTTTTTTATTATTAGATTTATTTTTATTTGATTTCATTTTTTTTTAATATATTTATATAAAAAATTAATTAAAAAATATATTAATAAATGAAAAATAATTATTTTCGTAATTTTGAAAAAAAAATAAAATTTTTTTTTATTTTTTTAATTTTTTTATTTTTTCAAATAAAAGTAATAATTTTTGACTTTTTTTTTTTTTATATATTTTTGATTTGATATGTCAAAAAATGAAAGATTTTATTTATATTTTTAATTGTGTATGTTCATTGTTATATACACCGAAAAATAATAAAAGAAATTGTGTAGTTTTTTATTTTTATTTTTGTGATTTTTAAAATAATCAAAAAAAAAACTCAAAGTAATTTAATTTTATTTTTTTAAAAAAATAGTTTTGATCAGTTTCCTACACTAAATTGTGTTAAAATAAAAAAATCTGTATTTTTAAAAAAAAAAAAACTTTTCTTTTTTTTTATTTTTTTGTTTTTTTTTTTTTTTTTTTTATTATTTTTTATGATTAATATATTTATAATTGTTTAATTATATAATTATAATTATAAATATAATTTATTATTCTAAATAGTAACATAAAAAAAGTAAGTTTTTTAAAAAAAATTACAAAAATCGACACTTATACAAAAATGAATTTTAATTATATAATTATATAATCAAAAAAAGATAATTTCACCCCTTCCCACACACCGTTTGATTTTTATTATTTTTATTATTTTATTGTTACAATTATTTTTCTTTTTTTTTTTTTTAAATTTTTAAATTATCTAAAATTCATTTTATTATTGTTATAATCGTCTATTATTATCATCAATCAACAACTTGACAAATTTTGCACAGATAATATAATAATAAATATTAATTTTTACTTTTTTTTTTTTAATATTTATTTTTAATATTTAGAATATTAAGTATTTTTAAAGGTTTATTATTTATTATACATGTATTTATAAAATTAAATAATATAATTATATATATATTTAGTTTAAATTATATATATATATAAAGGAAGAAAATAAAAATAAAAGATGCATTTCAGTACGACGATTAGAAAAAAAGGGTTTTCGCAAAGATTGGAAGCTGTTAAGGGTTTAGAAAATAGATCAAGAGAAGATAAAGCAACTTTATTAGCAGCTGTAGAAACTCAAAGAAATACAAGGTTAATCAAAGATTTAATCATCCATATTGTTTTTTTTGCAGTTTTTTTATTAATTGTAATCTTACAATTAAATCCATCAACTGTAAATAACATAAATACATCATTAAAAAATTCATATTTATTCAGTGGTGATGTACCCTATATGGATATCAAGTTTTCTGATGATTTTAAACAGGTAGGTGGTAGCTTATTTAGCACATTTGTTATTATTATGTTATAGTCATCACAATATATACTAATTATTTATGATCTTCTAGTATTTAACAACAACATTTTGTGAAACTGTATTATCAATGTCACTAGATAATGAGGATGCAATGAATAAAATTATTGGTAATACTATTAGAATTAGAACTACTAGAATTAAACCAGGTTCATGTACTGATAATGGATTAAACTTAACATGTTATTCAAATTCATATGATGGATCAACTAAAGATAGATCACCATATGGTCCAAATGGCATATATACTTATACAAGTAATACACATGGTTCATTTGTGTTTGGACATAATCAATATGTTTGGGATAGATCTGGTTACTATGTCGATATTTCTGTTAAAAATGTTACCATGGAAATTCAACAATTAATTGATAATGATTTCATCGATGTCCAAACAAGAGCAGTAATTATTTCATTTTCAACTTTAAATTTAAATTTCCAATCTAGAACAACTGTATTTACAATGGTAATAATCTTAATTAAATAATATAATCAATATAAATATTTATATTAACTTTTATTTTCAATTGTTTTTATTTAGTTAACAGAATGGCCAGCTTCAGGTGAAGTTAACCCATACTATTCAGTTAGAACATATAGAGTAAACATGTATATGGATGCAGTCGATAGATTTAGAGGTTTTCTCGAAACTGTATTCTTTTTATTTTTAATTTATTATGTATACTTTTTCATTAATGAAGCTAGAATCGATTATCAATTAAATAGATTAAGAAATTATTTACTTTCATTAAAAAATTCATTTGATATAATAAATTTAACTGTAGGTATCATTTGCGGCAGTTGGTTTAAAAATATTTAAAAAAATAAATATTAATATTAATTTTTTTTTTTAATGTGTTGGCGGTAATTTAGTTATTTATTGCATCTACAGCATTATATATAGCATTTTTAGGTGATAATTCAAGAGAGGTTTCATTAACTGATGAAACTATAAAATATCCATTATATTTAGAAAACTTGGGACAAACTGCTTTAGTTTTATATCAAATTTCAGCAATAAGTAGGAATTTTTTTAATTATTTATTTTATTTTATTTTTTTATATTAATTTAATTTTTTTTTTTTTTCAATAGATATTTTATTAATGGCATTTAAAACATTTAGATTTTTAATTATTCATAAACGTTTGTATATTTTATGGATTGCAATTTCACAGTCAAAACTTCAATTAATTACATTTACAATTATGTTTTGCATTATAATGTTGGGTTTCTTATTCTCTGGTTGGTTGACTTTTGGTCCAGATAATGCAGCTTATAATGGTTTTGTTACATCATTAGGTACTTTACTTCAATTTATTATTGGTAATCCACCTGATTATGAAGCAATGTCTTCAACAAATAGAGCTCTTGGTCCAATTGTAATTATAGTTTTTATTTTTATTTATATTAATTATATACTAATTCTTTTTTTTATTTTTTTTTATATAAACTATAGTATTATTTATTATTTACTATTTTTATGTTTTTCATTTTAATGAATATGTTTATTGCTATTATTTCAAAATCATATGAAGGTATTAGCGATTCATTCGATAAAAAACAAAGAAGTAAAAGATATTTAATGACAAAATGGGAAAAGTCAATAAAATCATTTCAATTTTTATTTAGAAAAGAGATTTATGACATCTATGATATATCTCTAATGCTTATTGATCAAAGACCGGGTTTAATAGAAACTCCTGGTATTGAACCATTAACTTTTAAAGGGTAAGTTTTAAAACTAATAATTATAATTATAAAAATAATTAACAAATTTTAATTTAATATAAATTTTTAGTGAATTAACAGCTTTAATACCAACAATAAAAGA